GGAAGTATACGTAGTACCGCGGGTAAAATAAATGTAAATTGTACACTTAGATCTTCTTCCATTCCGAGATAAATGCGAGCTGGATTAATTCCCTCTGCAACAACAACAGCAAATTTCCTTGCTAATTCTGAAGAGAGTGACACTGCACGGGAAGCTCAGCTCTTCCGGGCTTCAGGCACACGCAGGAAACGGATTGGTCTCCCTGTCAACGAAAGCTCCGAGTTCCCAACTTATACGCAAGGAAATGAGAACCCTGCTTTCCACAGCTTGAAAGTTCTCATCAGGCTTTGCAGGCTCAAACAAACTCAGGGGATATTTAGTAGGAAGCAACCTGTGGTTGGCACCTTCTCCTGCTATTTTTGCCACACTTTTACACTTATCAAGAACAATTTGCAGAAGTAAAAATTGAATAAAATGTACCATCCCCATTATTTCCTACTTATTGCTTTGATTATCAACATTCTCCAATACAAATGTTTATGAAGCTACTATTAGAAATATAACCATATAAAAATATTTTTCATGACAGATCTACCTATATCATTTATTCATTTTTCTCAAGCTAAATCCTAATATCTCTGTATTCACGAGCATAAAAATTACCATTGAATTCGCAGACGCTCGCGTCGCCCTCCCCTGGGATGGCACGGGAGGCGATGAACCCGGCCGCCTCTTTCCTCCCACTCCTCCCCCTCCGCCTCGCCGCCGCCCGAGCGGCCGCCGGCAAAGCCGGCCGGCCGCAAGGACGGCGGCGGCGGGGCCTCTCTCACCGACCTCGCTTCGCTTCGGGCGAGCAAGGAAGCGTCCACGACGGGGCGGCGGTGACCGCCAGATCCAGGCCGCTCCGGCCAGATCTGGCGGGGTGGCGGCTAGCGGCAGGGAGGGCGGCGGCAAAGGCAGGGGCGTGCGGCGCCGGGCGGTGGTGGTTGAAGGCGGCGGGGATGGCGATGGCGGTAGGGATGGCGTCAGCCGAGGGCGCGAAGGTGGCAGCGGTGGTCCTTGTGCGGCGACGGCGGCGGTGTCCCCCAGATCCGCTCCTCTCGGCCGGATCTGGAGGGTGGCCAGTGGTGGTGGTCGGCGACGGCGGTCGAATCGCGACGGCTGGCGACGGCAGTGGGCGACGGCGGCGGCGGTGGTGGTCGCGGCAGTTGGCGGCGGCGGCGGCATCGGCTGACGATGCCGGCGGAGGACTTGGCGGCAGCGTGGCGGAGGGCGACAGCGAAGCGGCCGCTGGCAGTGTCGGCGGCGATTCGTGGAGGCGGTGGCTGGCGTCGGTGGCAGCGGCGACTGCGGCTGACTTGCGGCGGCCGTGACTGTGGAGGCGGTGGTGACGTTGGCAGATGAGGGTTGCTGGCGGCGGCAAGTGGAGGCGGGGAAGGAGTCGGCTGCGAGGTGAGGATGGCGACGGCGAGGTGGCTGGGCGTCGATAGCAGCGGCTGCTGTGGTGGTGGCTGCGACTGCGGTCACCGGAGGTATGGCGGCCTCGGATGGCTAGCTGAGGGCGTGGGAGACGGCCGTATTTGGCCGGTGCGGCATCGTTTGGTGGAGGGGTCAGAGACCGGCTTGGCGCAGAGAGGCGCAACCGATGGCAGCGAAGGCCGGCTCGGCGCGAGAGGCGCGATTGGCGGAGATGGAGGCTGGCTTGGCGCGAGAGGCGCAGCTGATGGAGGGAGGCTGGATTGGCGCGAGAGGCGCGTCCGGTGGAGGAGGCGACCTAGGTGTGAGGAGGAGCTGCCGGTGGGTGTAGCGCGGTCTTAGGCGCACGAAGGCTGGCCGGCCGGGGACGCCGGTGCAGGGGTCCCACATGTTGGCAGAGTTTGTGTGGTGGTGGAGCATCGGTGCATCAGCCGTGGATTTGCAGGTGGTGAGTGGCGGGTGAAAACTCAGTTCGGCCTTGGCCGGACTGACAACGATGGTTCATTCTCCCTCCTGAGTGCGTTGTCGTGCTGTCTCAGCCCTCAAGGATGATTGTCGGGCGAAAGCCCAGTCTTGGCTCCTTTGAGTCTCGACGGACGGCGGCGGCGGTTTTTCCTTCACTTCTCTTCTTGAAGACGTCGTTTTGGCATCCCCTAGGAGGCGATCTCGTCTGTGTCCCTTTGTTGGTCTAGTGGCGGTCGGTCACGCTTAGCGGCGGCCGGTCCGGTGCTAGCCTTCTCCTGGGCTTGTGTGTTGGCGATGTCGGAGTGTGGGTGATGGTATAGTTTTTTTCCTTTTTCCTGGTTACGACCCTCCAGGGTTGTAATCTTGTAATTTTTTTTCTTCTCTATCAATAAAACTTCGCATCGTCTCGTGCGATTGGTTAAAAAAATATCTCTGTGTTCATTAACTATTCAAATTTTTAGGTTGACTGCACGTATTTAGGACACAATCTATTTCAGAACCGATGTAATTACTGTGGACGAAGTGAGCTTAAAAAAAATCAGTAGAAATGGACAGTAACAGTTTAATTATGAGCTGGGTAGGACCGTAGGAGAGAGAGAGGGCGAGGAAAGCAAAGTGCGAGTTTGGTGGTATTTTCCTCGCATCGCATGGCATGCGTTCGTTCGGACGGGGTGACGAGGTGAGTTGGCACCACTGCCTCGTCCTCCCCCTGTTTTGATACCTCCATTTCTTATCCCCTCCAAAAGAGAAAAACAAATAATACAATCCTATCTATCACCAAGGAAAGGAGCATGCTTTGCTAGGTCAACAAGAGTATACTACATATATGCACCAAATATTCTCTCTCTCTATCTCTCTTTCCTGTCTGTCACCGTCTCTTCTTTGGTTCTTCTATCTGAAATTCTGAATGAATATCTTGCCTTAGCTGAGCTAACCTAAATCATACCCACAAAGATGGGTACAATGAACAGTCACATGGGTGATGAATGATGAATCCCCTGGTTTATCTGCCGGGTCTTGCGAGGTTGTCTACGGGCTTAATTAACCCCGCCTTCGAGATAAGGTGGGGAATTCATTAGGAAAGTAAAAATGGTACGAAAAAGGTCTATTTGTGTTTTTGACTTTAAAAAGATGTGACTCAGCCCTGAGGCTTAATCTAGCATTTTTAGAAAAAATGAAAATGTTGAATTCTAGTATTGTTTCTGAGATTTTGTTCAGGTGCATCTGGATTGATTTGTGGCTGAAATGGGGTATCCTGATGCCATTTTGTTTGCAACTAATTTTGTTTGGTATAACATGCAAAGTTTAGCAGCAGGCTGACCTGTGCCAACTAACTAGTAGCACAAGTGTGTTAACTGAGAGATGACCTTTTTTTAGTGGGGACGCAGCAAGATAATGCCAGCATGAGGCGACCTCCATGCTTTACCGTTTCCTACTTTTCTTGAGTTGTTATAAGAATTTTTTTTGGCTAATTTCTGATGCAACCTTTGTCTCGATTGTGTCATCACTGGATTTAAGTATCGCCTGGCTGTTCCGATGTGAAAAAATGCGTCAGCTGAGCTACTATTCTTGGAGCTTAGCTAGCACTTGTCGATGCTCTTAAGCGATGACGATGTGGTTATTATTGACCTAGTGTGATATGGCCATATCTTTGCTCCTTTTGCATTTAATTGGAGATAATGGATGGGATAAGATGAGATAAATGGGCGAAAGATTCTAAAAGAATATATGTAAGTGAATGAATTCTAAGGCATTGTTTAATTTGGAATGGATATTTCTTTTTTAATCCCTGAATTTGTGTGGCAAAGTTCAATCTCTTGTGACCTAAAATGTGGCATAATTAAATTAGGGAGCAATATAAGCATGTTGGGTGGCATATTGGCATAGTTTTAGGTTATTTAAAACATACCAGAATGAGGAGATAAAATGCATGTTTTTATTATGTGCCGTTTCATTGCTAAATGAGAATTGCCCAAAAACCTGAATGGAATTTCTTTTGCATAGATTGGAATCCCGTGCAATTAATTTTACAAACAAATCAAACATGCGGTGTGAGACATGTGCAGGTTGGGATTTGGAGTGCTATTGTTATCTTTATCCTACCATAGCTGCTTCCACCAAACCAATGTAGTAGTACGCTAAGCCGTTGAAAAAAGAATTCCTATATATTCAAGGGGAAAAGCCTGAAAAATGATGCTGGCATGCTGCGGCCAGGAGGGAGCTGTTCCTTTTGTGTTTACTATTTAGTCCCTGGAATAATGTTGGGTCTCATATTCTATATTATATTCTAGAGCACCCTCAATTTCTATCTTATTCCCGTCTCCTGAAAAAAAATATACATCTATTTATCATATAACTATGAAAATTGTCACAATAAAAGTGACTTCGTAAAAAGTAAATGCAGGTGCTCACATATGTATATAGGGTTATTGTTACATTAATTTTTTTTGTTAATTGCATTCCCATGTATTACTGGAATCGAAACAAATAGGCTATTTGGCGCTTTTGCATACTTCCTACCGGCACACATCCAACCGTTCATCATTATGTTTTTATGTGGCGCTATGAATCACTTTACGTCTATTAATACCACATTTAAATATACATGAATACATTTTCCCGCGCTTTATATTACATGGTTTTATAAATCGGTACATACCGCACCTATTCCATCAATAGATGAATGATTTAGAAGGCATGACAAATATGATACATTTCTTCGATAATAAAAATCAATCTAAACAATTATTATACATTGTATTGTGCTTGTTAGGAACGTCGTTTTAACACATCAAAACAATCTTTTATGCATCAACCTCAACATTCAACCACCCCTCTATTGAGCTTGTGTTGGGTGCTCTACACAAACATTGTTGTTTTTTTTTTCGTAAGGGGCGAAATGCAAAGGTCGTAAGGAAAAAGATTCTTCCAATGGCACCAGAAATGGAGGGCTTTAAAGTTAATCAAATTGACTAATTAGTGCTAGATATGTCCTGCACTTCTCCTTAGTCATACCCAAGCAACAATAATGAAATGGGATTGAAACCACCCATAATGAAAGGCTGAAAGAAACTAGAGGAGAAAAGAAGTGCTGGCCTTTGCTGTTGTATAGCCCCCCTCTCCTTTTCCTACCTTGCCCAGTTCCTAGTTGCTTCTCTCTCCCTCATTAATAAAAAGAAATTTACAAGCTTCTAAACTATATTTTCTTTTGGATTCCTCCCCAATGGCTTTCACCCAAAGACTCACCCGGCCTTTGTAAAATCTCCTCCCTTCCGTCTGCATTCCTTCCTCCATTATTTCTCCATCCCTTTCCCCTCTCCTCCTCTCCTCTACCTTCTCTCTAAAAGACTGGATACAGAACAAAAAAAAGGGAAAAAACAGAAAGAAAGGAAAGAAAGAAGAACACCTACCAAGCAAGTCTTGGTCTTTGAGTTCATGGGCTGTGGAATTGTTCCCAGGAATCCCCTCTGGCTCTGAAAAGATTCACACCGAGCAACAGTTCTTTGATTTTTTTCCCCCTTTGTTTTGCTGAAGAATTGCTTGTACAGAACTGCTTCTTTCCTGTTTCCGCTTGGTTTTCCGGTGTTTATTTTGTTGGAATTTTCTTGGGCCCTTTCTTCTTCGCTTGTGGAGGCGAGGGGAGAAGAGAGGCATGGGAAAGCAAGGACCTTGCCGTCATTGCGGAGTCACCAGTGAGCTCTTTTTTTCTTTCTTTCATAAAGTTAGATTTTTCCTTCTGCAGTTCTTTGTTTCCTTGTTTTAGTTCTGATTCCCCCTAGCTAGTTTATTTTTTAGGTGATGTTTTCTCCCAATTATGCATCTGGGAAGAGTCTTAGATAAAATCGCAAAAATCTTCAGAATCCGTCGGGCTGGGATTCCTAATCCTTTTTCCCTGTGGTTCCCTCTGTTTGTTCTCTGATGATTATTAGCTGAAATTCATTGAACCATCAGAAGCTGTCAGGAGAACTTTGTGGATATGGTTGAGGTCTCGGTGTCCTTTGGGTGTAAAATTCTGGACACCAGGAACAGATTATTTGATTCAGATAGACACATCTAGACTTGTTTGACCATGGCAGATGTATGCTGTTAGATAATTTGACAGATAATGCAATAAGATGCAGTTAACAGTCTATTGTTCAAGATAAAAAGAACCACCTGCTTTTGCCAATCAGACATTCAGAGTTTCATAGAAGCTGCAACTGCAGAAATGCTTGCTGTTAGGACAGTACTAAAGTGAAGATCTTTGCTGTGCTGTCTAGTTTGCACAGGCTGGGTCTTCTCTTTGCTTAAATCTCAGCAGCATTATAAGTTCTGGAGTTCTTAGCTCTTCCTAGAACAGCTGCTTAATTGAAATGATCATCTGCATTTAGTATGCCTCACCTTTTAGATTAGCAAATGAACAACTACATGGTTGTGCTAAATATTAAAAATAACGTCTGAAAGATGCAATTTGAGTATGTATGTGACTAATCAGTAATCACTCACTGTCACTGACAAATTATTCTTCTAAGTTCCCTTCCCTGATGCCATCCTATCCTGTAGCTTCACAAGCATGATTCTTCTAAATTTGTGATAAGAATTCCTTATGGACACTCTACTAATAAACTCTATACTTGTATACCACACATATTACTGCAAATCAATTTTGTACTGTTACTTATGGGAAATGATGGAACAGGTACTCCTCTCTGGAGAAATGGGCCACCAGATAAGCCAGTGCTCTGCAATGCATGTGGCTCAAGATGGAGAACTAAGGGTTCGCTGACGAATTACACACCAATGCATGCTCGGGATGATATTGATGCTGAGGAACCTAGAGCTAGCAAGCTGAAACCTCCAACATTGAAGCTGAAGGAACAGAAGCAACTGAAGAAAAATCCAAGCCACATCACAATGGAGAATGGACCATTTTCTGATCAAAACTTCCGTAAGATGGGAGATCCTGACCTAAGTAATCGATCTGGTTCTGGATCAGCACTATCATACTCAGAGAGTTGTGCCCCCTATGGCACTGCTGATGCAAGTGAAATGACTGGTGAGTGATCTCCAATTCCCTGGTGTGTTTCTGTTAAAACATTTTTTGTTCTTTCCATTCTTGATGTGTACCATATAGTATATGATTTGGTTCAGTTCAAACAAATAATGTTTAAGGAATTGAACTTGAGCTTTGAGATTGATGTCAGAAGTACATTGCTTAACATTTGTCTCCAATGTAATGCTCATGCAGTGCTACCCTCTTATAATGCATATGTGATTTTTTCTTTTCGTTGGACACAATAAAGCTATCGGAACCTTTTTTTTGGCAACCCCTCTTCAGTGTTGGTTTATTCTTTAGTCCAGCATTATCAATTCATAATAACTTATGCTGATTGTTATATCATTAAGAAATTTGTCCATGCATTGTGTTCAGATAGCATCAAGCCTATAATATGGTGAAAATCATGCTTTAGTAAAGACCAGTAATCCAGTACATATGAAACATCATTAATAATATATGTGTTTCTATACTACATGTTAGTATGATGAAGCACAATAAAGGCCCTCAGAAAAGGGATATTACTCCACCAACCATAAGCATTAGTTTCCATTCTCGAGGTTCCGTATGTAACTAAAGAATTGTTTTTTAGCTGTTCTCTTACAACTTTGTTTGATATATTAATAATTTTATTATCTGATATCTTGCCAATTCAGCTTCAGCACAATCACATGCTTGGGAATCACTTGTGCCATCAAAGAGAAGGAGTTGTGTCACTCGGCCTAAGCCTTCACAAATGGAAAAACTTGCAAAGGATCTTAATTCCATAATGCATGAAGAGCAGCTACTTTACCTTTCAGGATCCTCAGAGGAGGATCTAATTTACCATAGTGCAACTCCTGTGGATTCCTTTGAGATGGGATATGGAAGTATGCTTCTCAGACCAAATTCAAAATCACTGGAGGAAGAATCAGAAGCAAGCTCTATTCCTGCTGATAATAAGTCATATATTACTAGTGAATCTTACTCAGGGTCGGTCTCATTTGTATATAGTGAAAGCAAGGCAACAAGCAACCAAAATGTTATAACTGAACAGCCAAAGAAGTTTCTGGTGCAAACATCAGATAATGCTAGAAGGTATTTTACATCCTTATTAGCACGGAAGTTTATATTGAGTATTAGTTTATATTGAGAATTGTTGTGGACCAATCTAAGGAAGTTTTTGTTTGGGATGTCTATTTTGGAGGGCTAATCTCCATACTGAAAATCAGGATACTCTGGAGAATGCAAACTCACCTTTAGTTTCCCTACATATGGAGGTATCCAGCTTATGTATCTTTTTCTTGCTCAGTTCAATTATCGTTATATGTATTTTTAGAACATGTCTAACCTGAATATATGATCTTCAAAACCTTGGTTGCACATTTTGATAGTTGTTTCCCTTTGTACAGGGAAAAGACAGTGAAGAAACAAGAGTAAAGACCAGTGCTTCAAATCGCCTTACAAAGTCCACCATGAATCCTCTGAAAAGGCCTCATGACACCCACTTCCAAAGCTCCGTAGGTCAGCAGCTTCTGACCTGCATATACTGTTACTTATATTTGGAAAAAAAACAAATCCTATATATTCATTTCCTATTTCGTCCTTAGCTTAATGTAAGTGAAATGGAGAAACCTTCTAACTTTATTATTTTTATCTATTCTTTCTTTTTGTGCATACAGAACTAAGAGGAACCATGAGGAGTCCTAAAAGAGTTTCTAAATATGGTGATGCTATGGGTCTAAAGTGCCAAGCGTCGTTTATGCCGAAACCAGGCAATGGCAAAGATTTAGCCTGCAGTGACAGAGCACTTAACTTATTCATGTTACCCCCGGATAAACTATCCATGCTGGTTCCTCCTCAGTATGCCAACACTGATTCTGATCAAGACCTGTTGCTGGATGTTCCTCTTAATGCTCGGCACCCAGAGGCCGAGCTTCTTTGCCAGCCATCTCAACTGAGCTCAGTAGCCCACAGCTCCACCTCAGAGGCTGGGAATGCCGGAGGAGAGGGGCGCCTTAAGCAGCCCTAGTTCCAGTTCCAGTTAACAAGCAACTTAGGAACAGGAAGTAGCTGTAGTTTACTTTAGTTTCCCTGGATCATGGTTCCCTTTATTTACCGGCCACTGATGGGGCGTTCTGCGGTTTGTTCATGCTCTTATCGTCGTCGCCCTGGTTTACTAGGCAATGTGCGTCTGCCAAGTTGGCAAAAATTGTGTGTTCAGCTAACACTTCTAGCTGTGCTTTTGGAGTAGACTTGTGCTTGTTTGTAGCATATGGCTTTTGGAGAAGGTATATAACTCAACATGGCTGTATGGAAAAGAGGTAATCTCCTTATGGGTAAAATGAAAAAGGAAAGAAAGATGGAAGTTATTAGGAGTTCATGTTTGTGTTGCAATCAGTGTTGGGGTTTGCTCACTTCTTTTTACAATTGAGCACCATGGTGTCTTGATGGCAGGTCATCTTGAACAAGAAATTTGAGATTGGTGATATCATTGATGAATGGTATGTACAGTTGTACATAAACTTGGTTCAAAATAGCAACATCGCGTGTGATTTCGGTGACGCTCTCGTCAACAATCTCCCAAAATTTGAAGTTACTGCTTGGCTTGTTGTGGTTCCTCGGTCATGTTTGGTTTCCTTGCTCGGTATGACTTTAGGCAAATTGGACAAGACTTTCCTTGCTTTTGAGTCTCTCCTAGCAATCTTTTCCTTGCTCATCGTAGCTAGGCAAAAAGTCTAACATCTAAGCTCACTGATGTTCGCTACTCCACCAATTTTTCATCTGCTACTCTGCCTTTCAACGCACTTTCAAATAGAGCCAAGACGATGTGGTAGGACGCAAGGACCACGAAATGACAACTACCTTTGACAAGGGTTGTTTTAGATGTGCATGAATAATTTCTTTAAAAAGAAAAGCTGAAACTATATATTTAGTAAGTACAAAATGTTCGGTAATTCGGTGATGGTTAGCAAATCCCAACAAAATGTTGCTTAGTTTGTTGGTAAGAGAGGGAGTATGACAAATTGACAATTATCTAGAAAAAGAGGAATTTTACGGTCATTGGGAGGTATTAAGAGGTACCAATATCTTTTAATGCAAATTTAGTATCTTATAGTACTATAGAGATGTACCAAATTTAGTAACCCCCGTTACCTCCTCATGACTGTAAAATCACTCTATACATAAAGGAGGGAGTATGACATAATTCTCCATTTTTGGCATATGTTCGTCTTGATGATAAAATTTTAGCATGAGTTCGTTCAAGTTTGCTCCATAGTTCATTCCGGATCCAGCATCTCATTTATGTAAATCTTTTTTTTTTCCCTTTGTGCTTGGCTCCCAAAATTTGGCAATATTTTGTTACAGTTGCTCCCTAGCCCAGTTTTGGCTCCTGCGTCCTAATCAGAAATCACTCTCATCCTATCCAAACCAATAATCAGGACGTGTAATTATAATTGACGTGTAATTATAATCTTCCTGTAACCATTTTTTTTGTTTGAGTGGAACGAGCTTTCTTTTTCAGATAGGAAACTGTAATTATAATTGACCGATAGTCTAACACTAGTAGTCTATGGAGACCAAATGGGCCGTAGTCAGCCCATATAATAATGGATCGCGGCCCACCAATACAAATCCGCGCGGGAAGATGCGGAGGCAGCGAGGGGTAGGCCCCGACTCCCGCGGATTCGCGCGCACGAATCTCAACGCACCCGCTCCACTCCCACCCCCTCCTCTTATCCCCTCCCGAGCAGAGAGCCCCTCCTCGCCGCACCTCCACCCGCGCGCTCCCCGCTGCCGCCGCCACCACCACCACCGGCGACGCCAGCCATGCTGCTCCACATCCTCGGCTCCTCCACCCTGGCCCCGGCGAGGCCCTCCCCTCTCAGGCAGAGCGGCGCTGGGACGGGGGCCGCGACGGTGAGGTGCGCGTCCTCCTCCTCGAACCCGTCGCCATCGTCGTCGTCGTCGGCGGCCGCGGCGGCGGGGAAGCAGGTGGCGAAGGTGCACAGCTACGGTGCGCTGGACTACGAGCGGAGAGCCGCGCTGCGGTGGAGCAGCCTGTACCGGCGCATCGCGGTGGGGCACGGCGGCCGGCCGGTGGGGCGCACGCTGGGGGCCTGGGATGAGGGCGAGCGCCGTCTCGACAAGTGGGAGCTCTGCCGCATCGCGAGGGAGCTGCGCAAGTTCCGCCGCTTCAACCTCGCGCTCCAGGTATGCACATCTACTACTAATTTACCCCCTTTTTTTTTCTTAACTAAGTTTTTTTTTTTTTTGGGGGGGGGGGGGGGTTAGTTAATAAGAGATCCGACAATGTTGGGAATTTTCATTGTACTTTAGGTCGAGTTATAGCAGGATGATGTTTGTAATATCATTCCATACACATAGCTTAGCTAAAGACGTAAAATGGGGAATTTTCTATCTGATGGGCACAACGTTGCATAGGACTATAGGAGTACATAGATAGTTGCCATTTGGTAGTTGCAGCACTGCTTAGTCTGAAGTTTAATGTAGAAGTAATGCTAGTAAATGCCGTGTGAAAAATGCAAGTTAGGAAACAAGGCTAGTAGTTAAGGTTGGGTCAAAGTTGGAATTCGTCCGTGTTTTAAGATCTTCTAGGGTAGTATTTTGAGTAGATTTACCACTGATCATCACCAATTATGAATTCAGTGATGAAAGCATATCTTGCAGATATGTAAATATAGAATTGTTGAGTTTTGTGCTTACTCTAATAATGCATCAATTCAATATAATCCCTGGATAGTAACTCTAATAATTCATCAGTTCAATACAATCCCTGGATAGTAACTCTACTAATGCATAAGTTCAATACAATCCCTGGACAGTAATAACTCCACTAATGCATCAGTTCAATATAATCCCTGGATAGTCATGAAAAGGTAGTTGGGTGCATATACTTTGTACCTCTGAGGGTAGAAAATCATGGTACTTATTGGTATTTTTCTAGAATGGAAGTCTTCTCTTCTTGTTATCTTATTGTTTTTGGTATTTTTTTATGACCAACCTTACAAATTTAATAGTCGTATTAGTCTCATCAGGTCTTTTCTTGAACATGGTAGGTGTATGATTGGATGACAGAGCGCAGAGATAGATTTTCACTCTCATCTAGTGATATGGCAATCCAGTTGGATCTGATTGCAAAAGTACGTGGTGTTTCACATGCTGAAGAATACTTCGAGGAGCTTCCTGATCCATTGAAAGACAAGCGGACATATGGTTCTCTTCTCAATGTTTATGCCCAAGCTATGATGAAAGAGAAAACAGAAAGCACATTTGAGCAGATGAGAAAAAAGGGATTTGCAACTGATACATTACCTTTTAATGTGTTGATGAATTTTTATGTGGATGCTGAAGAGGCTGAGAAAGTGTCCATACTTATTGATGAGATGATGGAAAGAAACGTTGCTTTTGATGTCTGCACTTACAACATTTGGATAAAGAGTTGTGCGGCTATGCAAGATGCTGATGCAATGGAACAAGTCTTTAACCAGATGATTCGCGATGAGACTGTTGTTGCAAACTGGACTACTTACACAACTCTTGCTAGTATGCATATTAAGTTGGGGAACTCTGAGAAGGCGGAAGAATCCCTGAAAGAAGCTGAAAAGAGAACGACAGGACGGGAGAAAAAATGTTTTCATTATCTCATGACACTCTATAGCCACCTCGGCAAGAAGGAAGAAGTCTACCGCGTTTGGAATTGGTACAAAGCAACTTTCCCCACAATTCATAACCTGGGTTACCAGGAGGTACTATCTGCCCTTGTTAGGCTAGGAGATATTGAGGGAGCTGAACTTCTTTACGAGGAATGGGCATCCAAGAGTTCCAGTTTTGATCCTAAGACTATGAACATTTTATTAGCGTGGTATGCCAGAGAAGGCTTTGTTACCAAGGCTGAGCAAACTCTGAACAGATTTGTTGAGAAAGGTGGAAATCCAAAACCAAACACCTGGGAAATCCTTGGCACAGCATACCTGAAGGACGGTCAATCATCTGAAGCACTGTCATGTTTGGAGAAAGCCACTGCAGTTGCAAGTCCAAGCAAATGGAGACCAAGACCCACCAATGTTGAGAGCCTCCTTGCGAATTTCAAGGAGAAAAACGATGCAGAAAGCGCAGACAGGTTGATGAATGTACTTAGAAGTAGACGGTGCGAGGAGAATGAAGAGTACAAGTCATTGATCAATACCTATGCCTTTCAAGACACATGATTGTGAAAGAACATCAACAATCTCATGAGCATTACATCCTGAATGAATGCATTACTTGCTTGTAGTGCTTTTTAGATGCTATAGTTGTGTCTGTTCCAGACAGGGTAGATGCATTTGGCAATTGATTCCTTAGACAAAATCGCATGGCGTACATAGATATACCTTCTTTTCAGTTCAACTTGGCTCAGTTAAGAAAGTTGTAAATTCGCCTAATGGCCGCCAAGTACAAGGCTCATTTTATTTTCTAGTACATATACAATGAGTAAATGCGTTGTTGTTATTGAGGATTTAACAGAAATTTACTTTTTCTTGCTCTAGGGCTGTATTTTTCCCCCCTATATTTAATGAAAAGGCACAAGTTCCCCCGCTATATTTAATGAAAAGGCACAATCTCGTGCCGTTTTCCCTTAAAAAAAGATTTAAGTTTAACAGACATTTCTTGTTCTTTTGATAGAAGATTTCCTTACTGAAGAAACGCGTTTGTTTTTACAAACCATAAAATTGTAGTACCACATTGTGAATATCAGAAAGTAATTCAAGGCAACACTTTATAAAGAAAAAAGAAAAAAAGAAAGTCCATTTTACATCCCTCAATTATAGACAGTCTGATTCGCATGTTGCATCTCGGCCAAAAGGCCCAACCCGGCCCAGCAAAGGGCCCAATTCTCGTATGGAAACATTGAAGGCCGGCCCACCGCTGGCGCCGAGGGCCCCGGGATGCAGCGAGCGCCCCTCGCCGATTCTTCCCCGGACGCCGGACGTCTCGTCGTCTCCTCCATCCGTCCGCCTGAGCGCCGCCGATCACCGCCGTGTCTACGTCTGAAGACGGCGATCCTGATCCTGAAGAGACGACCCTCCCACGAGAGGTTCGTCGTCGTCTCCTCACCTCGTCTCAAACTATTACTTACTCCCCTCATCTGCCACGAAGCCGCCAAGAAGTCGCCCTCCATGATCTCCCTCCCAACCACCTGCCTGATCAGTTCATCTGACTGATTGCAGATTGCTCATGACAGTGCGAATTAGGGCATGTGGGGGTCACTCACTAGAGGGACTGCACGAGGGGTGGTGGTGGTTGCAGTTGCAGTCACTTCGCTTGATTCAGATCAAGATGCAGTATTAGCACTAAACTAATGGCCAGATTCCTTCACGAGCTCACTGCTAAAGCTATAGGTGAAAAATTAACAGCGAGGTAAATATGAACGATCTAGTGCTCACTTTATTCAGGCTTTATTAATGGAATAATGGCCCATTTATTTCTTTTCTGAACGGAACTCAGTTCAGGCAGCAAATTGTGGTTCTGAGTAATCAAATTATGTCCTGGTCTTATGCACTATTATTCAGATTAGGACGTTAGAAGTTAGAATGTGATCGAGACCTTCTACTGGTTCTCTCATTAGTTGGCGAGAAAGTTAACAGGAACACGAAAAATGTTTGGTTTAATCCTAACGATTACTAAAACGAAGCAGGCTCTAGACTCCAGAGTGCATAGCAGCGCATAATTACTGATTAATTTACTTCGAGGCAGAAGATACCAAGCATCTAGCGACATGAGAATATTCTCTTCTACTACGACCATAGAGTAGAGAAAAATGCTAAGAACAAACTATTAATGATTTTTGCACATCAGGATGAGTTTATAGGTGTCGAATCTGAAAAAAAGAAGTTTATAGCTTAAGGGCGTATTGTGGTGCACACTTGTCGTTTGACCTTTTAACCAAGCATACGTGATCAGCATTTCCGTCTGAAGAACGTCGTCAATATGTGACTAGCACGTCCTTGGCTGATCAATCCTGAGTATGATTATCTTTCTTCGAGTAATTAACACGAAACGATGAAAAACTGTACTCTTTCACTGGCTGGAATCAAATATGCAGAAGTAAGAAGAACATTACTCCTTCCTCTCGCAGCCAGATCTTAGCTCGCTTGCCGTGCATTTTTCGAGCTCTTCCAACGTCACACCTCTTATCATTTTGACACTTGTGACAGAATGTGCCAAGTAGAACAGCCTAGGATGCAACTATTGACAGTAAAGAATGGATTCTGGTCTCTTTACTTCACCAAAGATACTACCTAGAGTACCTAACTGATCAACAGCCAGCCATATACTGCTACCAACCAAGTCAAAAAAATACAACGAATATTTCCAAATGCAATGTACGGAGGTGTGAGATGAATTGAACCATTGGATTGAGATCCCAATGCTGGGAAAAAATGCTCGATTTAATCACAATTCACAAAACTACTTGGATGGTAGTGCCGTTGCGAGTAGTAGAAATTTGTGCGCGCTGCAGTCGCATTCCCTCCATTTTATATGACGAACACTTCAGCCATCCACCAGGTTCAGGTCCACTCCCCTCTCCACCAGCTGCAAGAACTCGCCACGCGAGTCCAGTGATCCTCTCCGATCGATCATGGCGGAGGAGGAGGACCTGGCGGACATGCCGCGGGTGGTGGGCGTCCTCGCCGCGCTCCTGGAGCGCGTGACCGAGCGGAACGACGCGGCGGCGGCGGAGCTGGAGCTGGCGGTGGCGGGAGCTCCGGCGGCGTCGGCGTTCCGGGCGACGACGAAGCCCGACATCACGGTGCGCGCGTACATGGCGCGCATCGCGCGGTTCGCGGGGTGCAGCCCGGCGTGCTACGTGGTCGCCTACATCTACCTCGACCGCCTCCTCCGCCGCCGCCGGCGCGCGTGCGCGTTCTCCGTGGACTCGTACAGCGTGCACCGCCTCCTCATCACCGCCGTGCTCGCCGCCGTCAAGTTCATGGACGACATGTGAGTTCGCCTCGCACTCGGCCACTCGTGGTCACGCAATAATTGATGCGATAGCCGTATGATCGAATCGAGTTTCTGGGTTCTTTGCGGTGTTGCTGTTCTTGGCTACAGTAGTCCAGTCGGTGCCCGGACCAGAACATGGCAGAAACAGAATGCTCTGTTTTTCTTTATGAATTTTGATCCAACATGCTAGGTAGATCACTCTGAATTTCCCAATTCATTCAGAAATACGCCAATTGGCCTATTCTTTGAACAATTACTTTTTTTTTGTGTAGATAGCTTGGTTTTCGGCCTAATTACGTTTGTTAGGCTTAATAAGGACGATTCAGTCTAGCTGCTGATCTTCTTGGACCAAACATTATTGTGCAATTCTTATCCTGCTTCATTTGTGCCTGTTCAAATCACTGTCAACCAAGTATTTGTTGGGAGTTAAGAGTTAATACCATCATGCCAACCCCAAATTTGGACTGTTGTGTGAGCAATAGTACGCAATCTTGGTGAATTATGGATAAAGAACCTTCTGATGAGATAATATCGTCATCAAAATTTGGAATTCAGTACCACGTAGGAACCTTTTTTTTTTCAGGAATACACCAAACACCACCATGTAGGAACTAGGAAGCATCAGCACAGTGGATTCTTTAAACATCAGAAACCAATAAACCCTTCCCTAAGTCCTAACAAGCACAGCCCAATTGAAAAAAGTTAAAAAAAAAACTTCATCGAACTGTTCATGAGAAGAACACGCTGCAGTGCAGAAATTTGATATATTATCTCACGGCCTCACACTGAACGCACCAAAGTGTTATCTGTTCTGTGGGGATATGTGTGTGTGGGCAGCGAAATTATGCTTGTCCAACAAAGAAACCATGGTGGTTCCACTGTTCCTTCCATCCAAACCACACATACACTGGGGACCCAAAGACATAAAGATAGGATTTTCATTTCTTTTCTCCACCCTTTTCCCTCTCACCACCTTTTTTCTCTTTTTGGAATTTAATTCATTGCCAAGTTGTGATGTCTAGCTAGCTAGCCTAGGATGGGGCAGTGTCAACTTGCCCTCTTGCTGATGCTCATTAGCCCCAACTCCCTCCTGCCAGGAGCATCTCATCTAACCCCAAATCTTCTTGTTTCTGAAATAATTACCCAGTTGATATTAACCGTACCACTTAATTGCCCAGTTGATAATAATCTAGAAAATAACTCGATTGGTGTGCCTTTTTGGCCCATGGTATATCATCTGGTTTGAGTTTGACGTTAGCTGCACATATGTTCGGTAGCCTACTACCACTAACAGTAAAAGCTTTAGCTTGTTTCTGCAAACAAGATGTCTGATCTGAAGAAGATGCGTGCACTGCAGATGCTACAACAACGCCTACTTCGCCAAGGTCGGCGGCGTCAGCCTCCCGGAGATGAACTACCTCGAGGTCGACTTCCTCTTCGGCGTCGGCTTCGACCTGAACGTGTCGCCGGAGACGTTCGGCCACTACTGCGCCGTGCTCCAGTCCGAGATGCTCTGCCTGGAGCTGGAGCCGCCGCCTTCTCCTTCCCCTGCTCCGGCGGCAAGGCTGCATTGCTTCCTGTCCGAGGACGACACAAGCAGCAGCGGCAGCACTCAGCATCAGTTAGCTGCGTGAACAGTCGGTGATCAGATGCAGGGATTGCTTCCAAGCAAGCAGGTGAGAAGCTGCATTGCAATGTACAGGCACGATTGCTTGGAAGCATCAAGCAAAGCATTTGCTCCTAGCACATAGTACTGTCACTACTGTGATGTCTTGTTTGCTGTAATGCTACTTAGATGATTAGATCTTACTACTACGTAAGTAGTAGCTTGTTAGGTGAGGTGGTACATATGTAATCGCTGTACTCTCACAGCGCCATCGTTTTCTCCCTGCTGTACGTAGATACCGGTGTTAATTGTGCTTCCTTTTTTTTATTTCTCTTTTCTTTTCCTCTGCTGTAGCAAATTAGGTTTGGTGTGATTCATTCACCATAATGCAGAGGGGAAGAAAACGATGTGAGATGATCAATTGGGTCTTGGCAGCGGTAGCGCTTCTGATTGATCCGGGCAAACCGCAGCAGATCACGCACAGATCGCCGCGCATTGCCGTGCACGGGTGATTGTACCACTAGCATCCTAGGTGGTGCCATGCTTGCTCACCAACTGAGTACTGATCACCAATTAATCTGGGAGTAGAACCAGTATGATTACGTAACAGGAAACCTCCTGCTTAATTAGATCCCAACTATTCCGTCGGTTTGTCTCCGTCTCTCACTCTGCTGGTTTGTGAAACAGAGCTGGAGTAACACTAGCAAGTCGGTAGAGCGATGTGATTGTGTGAAACGGAGAGACCGGTAGGCGATAGAGAGGGAGAAACGACGACGGAGAGAGAGACTGGGTGATCGCAATGGATTATTTGACCGCCTGACCGGTCAAAACCACCACGAGCGTGGGGGTGTGGGCGTGTGGCTGCGTGCCTGCGTCTCGCTGTACAAAGGCCAACGCCAGCGGCCTGCGCCACCACCACTTGGCCAATGCATGCCGCAGGGCTCCGCTCCCGGTGATACAAAGGCTGTGTTGTGTTTAGTCCAGCACAAAGTTTGGATTTTAGTTTAAATTAGAGATGATGTGACTAAAAAGTTGTGTGTGTATGACAGGTTAATGTGATGGAAAAGGACTAAAATTTGGATCCAAACTTTGGATCTAAACACAGCCACAGGCCCTGTTTAATTCCAAAGTTTTTTTTTCCAAACTTCCAACTTTTCATCACATCAAACCTTTCATACACACACAACTTTTCTATCACATCGTATCAATTTCAACCAAACTTTCAAATTTCAGTGTGAACTAAACACAACCACGGTTGTATTGTTGGATTCTAGGGTTCAGAGGAGAGAGATGGCCATGATATGTAGTGGCATTGTCGGATTTAAGGCTTTCCTCACTGTATAATTCATTTAGTGAGTAGTAAGATAAGACAAATCAGAGAATCGCTCATGGATTTTTCGGCTAGCTCCATAAGGTGGTGGGCTAAACGATCTGGGTTCGAAGTCTCACCCCTTCTAATTACTTGATATTAGGTACTTCTCTAATATTCGAGTTTTAAGATAAGACAAATCAAGTTACAGTTATTTCTAGCTCTCATAATGTGTTGACAGAAAATTACGATCCATATGTAGAACAGTGGTCAGGCAAAAATTTTAACCAAAAACATCACATCAAATGTTTGGTCACATGTATGGGGCATTAAATATGAGAAAAAAAAACAATTGCACAGTTTGCATGTAAATTACGAGACGAATCTTTTGAGCCTAATTATGCTATGATTTAACAATATAATGCTACATTAAACATTTGCTAATCATAGATTAATTAGGCTTAATAAATTTGTCTCGCGGTTTACAGAAGGAATCTGTAATTTATTTTGTTATTAGTCTACGTTTAATACTTCAAATGTGTGTCCGTATACTTCAAAAACTTTACACCCAAAAGAACTAAATACACTCTCAGTTGAAAAGAGAAAAGAGTTTAATGTTTTATAATTGCTTCTTGCCAAGTGGAGTTATTACATCCTTTACTATCCGTCTCCACAATGATAAAATAGGTAGTAAAACCCCTTACTATCTGCTTTTCTCGTACTCTATAAACTTTTGGTAAGTCTCCACCGGTATTAGTACTTCTTGTCAAATATGACAAACTAGTCCGACTAGATATAATATAGTCCTACGAATTTAGATAGGGGTTTATCCATATTCTTTCATATTACTAAACCATTTAGATACGTAGTATTAGATTGCGATCAACCCAGTATTAAATTGTTATATTTTGGCTGGAGAGAGTACTAGTAGCTAATTCAAGGAGAGAGAGTGTGTGCACTTTGGACCCATATTTATGATCTATTGTGTCTGCTAGCTACTCCAGCCGTTCCATCATAATTTCACTTTTGGCTCTTCCCATTTATTTCAAAAATAAGTTCATTTTTAGTAATTGATTCATCAGATTTTGGGTGTGTTGTTCACGCCGAAATTGGAAGTTTGGTTAAAATTGAAATGATGTGACGGAAAAGTTAAAAATTTGTGTGTATAGAAAAGTTTTGATATGATGGAAAAGTTGAAAGTTTGAAGAAAAGGTTTGGAACTAAACTCGGCCTTTGTGTAAGTAAGGAATAATAGCATTAAGAGTAGATAAAATTAGGGAATAATTTCATGAGGATTTGATAAAAATAGAGGTATAAAGTCTGCATCGCCCTCAACCACCTACTAGACGAGAACCAGTGGTTCGATGCCAGAATGAGTTCACCGCCGCTGTATTTCCATGAAAGGAGAGAGATGGGGGAACAGAGAAAGAGATGAAAGAAGAAGACGGAGGCAATTTGGTCTGAAACAAATGCGTCCGGAGAATAAGTAGCACTAGTATATTTTGAAATGAGCTATGAAATTGTAATACTATTATGGTTCTAAATAATTTAATAGTTGATGGCACTTTTTAAAACTGTCTTACAATCGTACGGATCCAATTAATCTTAGTGGCTTATGGGAACTCCCTTTTTCTCACAAATAAGTTACTCCTAGCATTCCAACGCAAAAATTAAAGGAGAGAATAAAAGAACAAAATGCATTTTATTAATAGCAAATTAGTATTGATGGATAGGCGCGTTAAAGTGTTATGGCTACGGATAAGGTATATCTTCTATCCTACGGCTTATATAATATACGGATACGGCATATCTTCGTATGTGCGATAGACTTCTGCATATAATATGAAAATCGACAAGACATTATGGAAATAAACCTCATAGGCAAATAACGTGACAGAGTTCTACTTGAAGAAAGTTAGGATTATACTATATCGTGTAGGGTCCGGGATCTCCAAGTTATACTTGGAGACTAAGGAGATTCACGGTATAAGTAGACACCTCCTGAGGGGTCCAAGGCATCGAATCATAGCACTAGCCAACCCACGACCAAAGCAGCAATACAGAGAACTTGAAGTCTACTCGCTAGGAATTTCGTCGAAGCCATCTCGACAAGGATCTCGTCGGTAACTTTGGGATCAGTTGTTCTCTCTTATAATCTATGGATTTCCATATCAATCTCATATAAACTGGATTATGACTATTAACTTACGAGTGGTCCAAAACAGTATAATCCATGTCTTCTTATTTGCTTGATGTCGAATCGTGTAGATTTTCGTACCAACGTACCCCAATACCCATACTATTCGGTTTACAGGTATCTCTCATCGACAAAGAGGTATCGAAGAAATAAATATTTTCGATTTATGAATCGAGATAGATAAGAACATCCCCAGCAGCTCATCTATATTTGGTCCTGCAAATGTCCATATGGAGTATCATCCAAAAAAAGAATATCCCATTATCCTATATTTTAGGAATATCTTTCCAACTAACTTTACATTTGTATTTTAAGGGATATATTTCCAACTAACTTAATTTTAACGGTGTTATTTATCACGATAATATTTTGAAACGAGTAAATTTTAACGGATATATTTTTAATTGATAGTTTTTTAATTGATATATTTGAATTGAGGGAAACATTTTTTTATATATTCGTAGCATCATCAATAAAATAAAATGTACATAAAAACACAGCAAAAAATATTCCTATTTCCTATTTCCTTTTACTCTATTCCTATTTCCTATTTCCTCTTCTCTACTACTACTACTCTTTTCCTTTTACTCTATTCCTATTTCCTATTTCCTCTTCTCTACTACTACTACTCTTCTCTACTCGCGACGGCGGGCGAGTTGGCGAGGGACGGTGGCGGGCGTGCGGCCGAGGGTTGGCGGGCGGGCAAGGGGCGACGATCGACGTCTGGGCGAGGGCGCAAATGGACAGGGAGGAGGCAGTCAATGGTCGCGGAGGCGGGCTGGCGGGCGAGGGCCCTGGATGGGCGGGGAGGAGGCAGTCAGCGGCGGGCAGGCGCAGGGGCAGAGGAGGTAGGCGGCGGCCGCGCGCAGGGCAACAACGAAAGGCGGCGACAACACGTAGGGCGACGGTGGAAGGCGGCGACAACACGCAAGGCGACGGCGGCAGGCGGCGGCCGCACGGCTCCTTCCAGATCTGGTACTCCTCTCCCTCTCCACGCCTACACCCTCCTCTCCACACTCCACGACGAGCAGCACAGGCGGCCGACAGGCTCGTAAGCGGCGGCGACAGCTTGCGGCTTGCGGCGACTCGGCGTCAGTAGCTTGCGGCCGGCGACGACGACGATGGAGGAGAGGTCGCGATGGGAGTCCGAATGTGGGCGGGAGATGTGGGCGTTGAGATATGGCGTGAGGAGAGAGAATCGCTATATTTGGCCGAAATCTACTCGCTTTGGCGCATCGTCCATATTTGGCGGACTCAATGCCGTATCTGTTGGAGGTCCATTTTCATCTCGCATATGCCATATATCGGATGGAGGACCGGATGAAGGATCTCCTGGGGATGCTCTAAGAAGGTAGTACTCTATCTGTCTAGAAAATAAAAACAATAAGAAACATTCTAGTGTACGAATCTAGATATATCTTTGTTTAGATTTATTGTATTAGAATGTGCTACATTCAATTCTATATTCGTTGATTTATTTTAAGAAAAAGTTTAAATTTCAGAAGTTGATTTATTCCATGACCGAGGGAGTACATACGGCAAACGGCTGCTTCGAGGTCGAACAGATTATTAACAGTCGGAGAGAGTGGAATTGGCAATTCCCAAATCGAAACGCCGCTGCGCGCCGCGCCCTACCCGGCTACCCCCGCCCGCCGCTCGCGTGGCCCAGTCCGACTCCGATCCACCATCCCGGTAACCATACCGCCGCGCTGCTCGGCACCCCCAAACCGGCGCTCGTCCCCACGCGGCGGTGGCTCACCGCCGCCTCCCCCTGACTCACCTCCCTCCCCCCCCTACCCACCCTCCCTCCTCCCCGCTCCACCATTGTAGGAGAACCCCCACCCCACCCACCTCGCCCCACTCCGCCGCGCCCCCTCCCCGCTGCCTCCGTGGAGCGTCATCTCCGCGTGCAGGGTTAGAGGCTTCTGGTGGTGGTGGGGGCAGTGCGGGGGGCGTTGGATGGGGATCCCGGAGGTGGTGGTGCCGCCGAGGGCGGCCGGCCCGCGGAGGTACAAGGGGCTCGTGCCGTGGCGCTTCCAGCCGGGCTTCGTCAGGCCGCCTCCGGTCAAGCCCCCTGCCGCCGCCGCCGCCGTTGCCGGAGGAGGGGTCGCGGGCACGCCCGGCGGCAAGGGTCGCGGGTTGGGGGCGTCGGGGGAAGGCGTCGGGTCCAGTGGAGGCCGGGGAGATCCTCAATCGAGGAGATGCACCCGCAGCGCGAGCGCGAAGGGCTCTGGTGATGCGCGGAGCGTGGAGGAGGGCGGTCCCCGTGTTGCCGGAGACGACGGCGGTTCGGGCAAATCCGGCGTCGCGGCGGAGGGCTCCGGATTTGAGGGTTTGAGGAATGGCAGGGGCGGTGGCGTTGGAACGGCAGCTGCCGAAGATTGTGGTTTGGAGAAGTCCAACCCCGATGGCATCGTCGGAGATGCTGATGTGCATCTTGAGAGCGGCAGCGATGCAAGAGATGGGGAATGCGTTTCTGAGGGTTTGAAGAAGCCTTGTGTAAATAATAGCAATGGTTCTTCTGCCGCGGATTGCGCGCCGAAGGTGAAAAAGGGAAATGACAGTGGCAATGGAGGTGCCGATGAGTGTAATGCTGCAGCCAAAAGTAGCAACTTAGCATGTCCTGGCAACAATGGCGACGAAACGAATCGTAAGGGGCGGAAGGTAGTACTTCCATGGAGGTTCCAGGTTGGGTTCAAGCGGTCGTTCTCGAAAGCTTTCTGCTCCGATAGTGAATCTTCAGGGCCCTCTGGTACTCAATTCTACAGAGCCCAAGACTCTTCGACACCGTGCACTCCAGCAACAAGAAGTTCTGTCCGGTGTTATGCGAGTGCTCATTCTGGTGTTAGAGTCTCGGCCATGCGTGATTTCTCAGTGAAAGGTGAGAAGGAAACATCAACTCCATATAAGAAGAGCAAAACTGGCATGGATGGTCCTAGTCAAGGGATGCCAAAGAATGGAGTTGTCCTCGCTAGGGAAAACATTATGGGATCTCTGCAGAATTTTCGCTTAATTTACAGGGACCTTTTGGATGAAGAAGAAGAGAAGTCGACAGAAGCAGTGATTAGACCTGATCTACAAGCTTACAGAATTTTCAGGGAGCGGTTCATCACAGACTGCGATGAGAAGAAATATATTGGCAATGTGCCTGGAATCAAAGTTGGTGATATCTTCCACTTGAGGGTAGAGCTTTGTGTTGTTGGTCTTCATCGCCCACACCGGGTGGGTGTAGATCATATCAAACAGGAGGATGGGACTTGCATAGCTGTTAGCATTGTATCATATGCACAATCTTCCGATATTAAGAATAATTTGGATGTCTTGGTGTATTCTGGAGCAATGACAGCTATAGCCAATCAGAAGATAGAGGGTACCAACTTAGCACTCAAGAAGAGTATGGACACTAACACACCAGTCCGTGTTATCCATGGTTTCGTCACTCACCTCAATGGAAACTGCCAGCGAAAGAAGATCCCTACTTATATATATGGGGGTTTATATATAGTCGAGAAATACTGGAGGGAGAAAGAGGGTAATGATCGTTATGTTTATATGTTCCGACTGAGAAGAATGGCAGGTCAGAAACACATTGACATCCAAGACATTCTGAATTCAGGACAAGCTGAATCATATGGTGGTATTATCATAAAAGATATATCCCGAGGATTGGAGAAGATCCCTGTATCTGTTGTTAATTCAATATCTGATGAGTACCCAATGCCCTATCGCTACATTGCACACCTGCAGTACCCCCGTAACTACCAGCCAGCACCTCCAGCAGGCTGTGGTTGTGTTGGTGGATGCTCAGATTCTAAAAGGTGTGCATGTGCAGTGAAAAATGGTGGGGAGATTCCTTTCAATGATAAAGGCCGCATCTTAGAAGCAAAACCTCTTGTTTATGAGTGTGGACCTTCATGCAAGTGCCCTCCTACATGTCATAACAGAGTTGGTCAACATGGCCTTAGGTTTCGTTTGCAAGTCTTCAAAACCAAATTGATGGGCTGGGGAGTAAGAACTCTTGACTTCATACCATCTGGAAGCTTTGTATGTGAATACATTGGAGAAGTGTTGGAGGATGAAGAGGCACAGAAAAGGTCGACCGATGAATACTTATTCGCTATTGGTCATAATTATTATGATGAAGCCCTTTGGGAGGGCCTATCAAGATCCATACCCTCACTTCAGAAGGGTCCTGATAAAGATGAGGAAGCTGGCTTTGCTGTTGATGCTTCAAAGATGGGCAACTTTGCAAAATTCATCAACCATAGTTGCACCCCTAACCTTTATGCACAAAATGTCCTATATGATCATGACGACAAGAGTGTACCTCACATTATGTTCTTTGCCTGTGAGGACATTCCACCCCGCCAAGAACTTTCATACCACTACAACTATACAATAGATCAGGTTCATGATGCCAATGGTAACATCAAGAAGAAAAAATGTCTCTGTGGCTCTATAGAGTGTGATGGTTGGTTGTATTAGGCTTGAGAGTGTACTATTTCCAGAGGCATAATTGAACTTCTTTCATTGGGCATGAAATCTTCTTCTAGCTTATACTGTGATTACAAATGAAATCGAAATAATTATTAGGTTAATGTTTTCTTCTTTCTTTGCAGTTCCACCATTGGCAAAGTGCCAAGTCATTTTTTTTATTTGCACTAATCATTTAATAACTTACTAAATAATTTTACATTGTGCTGATCAAATGTCTTCCATAATTGTTTCCAACAATGGTTAAATGTGTTGTTCTTTTAAGGGAAAGTTTAAGCATGTTGTTTCATGTAGCTCAATATATGCCAGAATATGTTATCTTGATACGATTCCGAGTCTGACACAATTTGTTACTTTAAATTTTGCAGTTGTGGTTAGTAGATTACCTTTTTTTGGTTTAGTTTCTTGTCTCAAGTTATTTTTTATGGTTCTTGTAACATTTGTTTAGGTCCTTTTGGACTACTAAGCTATTAGGATATTGTACAAACATTTCAAAGAAATACTGAAACCAGCAAAAGTTAGAAACTTCGAGATGATTTGGAATAACAACTATTCGCTCCTATTTATCATAGTTAGTGCTTCAGTTTTGACCAGTAACGAAAAATACAGCACCATATTTTGAGGATGAGATATGGTTCTATCATCTCATGGATTATTTCACATATTTGAAGGACTTAGAAAATACAGTGTTCACCTAGTTGCTAAACACTAGTGGGACGGCCACCTACTGACTAGCTACTAGGCTGATTAGGCGGCGACTAGACGGATTAGGCGAATTAGGCGTTTTTTCTATTTGTTTCACAGAAAAATACTGATTCTAGACATTCGGTACTCATTAAATATAGGCATTTAGGAAAATAGCATAAATCATAGTTAAGTTCAGAAATCATCAAGTCAATACAACGCACTGACACTGCACACAAAGCATTGGGTTTAAAGCATTGGGTTTAGTACAAATCTATAGGAATAGCGAACACATCAGTATACACATCATAATTCATAAATCAGAACTTTATATTTCATATTTAGTGTGTGTGTCTCTCTCTCTCTCTCTCTCTCTATATATATATATATATATATATATATATATATATATATATATAGGTATATATATAGCATAGAAGGCTAGGGGAGTAGCAGTACAGCACCAACACCAACACATGAGCATACCTCTCAAAAACTCAATCACATACATACAGATCTGATACAGATCTAAGGTGCTGGAGTTAGGAGAGGAATAAAAATTTACCTGGAGCTGGAAGAATAGAGGAGGTGAGGTGGTGGAAGGGAGTCTAGTCCCCTGATGGCCTGATCTAGGGTTGGCACTGGCTGTTTGAGTGGTTCCATGTTTGACTGCTTCAATCGATGTGTTTGCCACCTTCCATTGACGGCAAGGATGAAGGATGAGAGGGAGAGCAGGAGCAGCAGAGGAGGGGGAAGAACGTGAAGCAGCAAAGGAGGAGAGTGAAGAACGTGGCGGCGCGGTGGCAAATTGGTGGGTACGGTGGCAGAGCTCTCGCTTGTGGCGGCGTGAAAAGGGGAGTAGGCATGGGCAGCGCTCTCTCTCTAGGCTCTCAAATAAGGTAACCTAAATCCTCATCTATACTGAGTCGGCCCCGTGTGGCGCTTCCAAATTTTATTGCGCCCAAATTTTGATTTCTATCGCCTAGTCGCCACCTAGACGCACTGTCCCATTGTCCAATTGCGCCCAGGGACTGTCCCGTCCAGGCGGCCTAGGACCGACTAGAACCGTCTAGGCGGTAAATCGACTAATTCACTGTCTAGGGTGTAAACTGGACAAATTGTCGCTGACTAGCGATTAATCACCATCTAATGGGCTAGGTGGCCGTTTAGGCAAACACTAAATAGAAATGAGAATTGGGTAGTCTGAAACGTTGATATATTGTAGTAGGTGCAGGAGCCTCCATTTGTGGGCCTTGATTTGGAGAAGGGTTTCAAACGGCCGGTCTAAATTGAGAAAACCAACGTTTGCAGCGGAAGATAAAAAACCTGGTACCCATGATGCCAAGAACGTGCTGCCTTGTAGTACTGAAACTTCTTATCATAGATGAGTTCATGTGAAGCTCGAAATCTGCATTCTGATGTCTGTAACAGGGCCACAATTCCTTTGCCTCCAAAGAATGTCTATTCCATGAACTCAATTGTTATTTTTTTTTGTTCGATTTTGTATTGAGTTAACCTTTTTATTTTTCTCGAGAAACTTGAGTCGAACTACCTTTTTATTGAGACATGGCAGATTGTTCAGTCCAGAATTAAAACATCACCAACACGATCCGGAATATATATACGAGCATGATCAGCTCTGCACTTGACCCTATCTTATTTCAGCATTTCAGGTACAAAGTTTGAACAAAAATGGACATATTATACAGGAACCGAAGATAACTTAAGTACCCATATATCTTAGTAGTATTTCAGTAGGTAACAAAGCTCAACCAAAGATGGACATATTACACACAGCTACTGTGTACAACGGATGCAAGGCAAAATGTCCAGCGGTTTCAGAGTTTCAGTTGCCGCCACCGCGCTGAGGCCGGTGGCTGTCACCGCCGTGGAATCCCCCGCGAGCGCTCCAGCCGCCGCCGCCGCCGCCTGATCCACTCCCGCCTCCGAACGCCCCAGCGCCGGCTCCCCAGCCGCCGTGGCCCTGCCCGCCAGCCCAGCCGAAACCGCCACCGTGGCCGCCGCGGCCGCTGGAGCCACCGCGCCCGCCAACGCCTCCTCCACCTCCGCCTCCGCCGCCGCCGAAGCCAAACCCGAACGCGGTGCCGCCGGGGCTCTGCGCCGAGCTGTGGCCGTAGCCCCAGCCGCCTCCGGGCCCCGAGGCCCACCCCCACCCGTACCTCCAGGAGCCGTCGGGGCCGGAGCCCTGCCCGGACCCGGCGTCGCCGGTCCATCCGGGCGGCGCCGCCCGCCCGCGCCCCCGCCCCGGCTGGTGACCCCGCTGTCCGTCCATGCCGCCGGTTGTGGCCGAGTGTCGCGAGGGTCAGCTGAATTTATGCAAGCCTCGGCTTCGCATTTCTCACAATTCACACCTGTGTCAGTTTTGTACTTATGGGCAGTGAATGTCCACGGTTTTTAGCGCGGTAATTTAGATATTTATCACTTTTAGATATAACGTTTCATAATTTCACTCATATAATTTCATAATTTATACTCATATATATTTATGATACATGAATTTTTATGTGCTTATGTAGGTTTAGTTTCCAACTTTTCCATCACATCAAAACTTTTCTACACATATAAACTTTTAACTTTTTTATTTAAACTTTCAATTTTAGCGTGGAACTAAACCCACCCTAAATTATTAAACGTCATATCAAAAGTGATAATAGTTAAATACTCCATCTCCAGTTTGACAGCTATGTTCTGAAGTCTGAACTGAGCTGCCAGTGACTAGTAGTGAGCTTGGTCAATTGCTTCATCACTAATCAAACCGAAACAAGCCAGGACTTTTGTGTCACAAGAGATAGATGAGCAGAAGTGCGAACCAGCAGCAGAAGGTGAAAACCACGAGCATTCTTGTAACTTCGCAGACTGGAAAGACAGTGTGCGAAACATAAAGAATTCAAACAAACAAAAATAAAGCTCAGTTTTGACATTCAGAAGGGGCCCAAGTTTTACATTTGGAAACATAAGCACCTGGTGGTAGAAACCACACTATGGAGTTGGCAAGAGTCGGAGAGATACAAAGCTCTTGGGAATTTCGTTCCAATTTGATACAATTGCATACCATGCCTTGTTCCTGTTTTCTGGTATTGGAGGAGCCGTGGAGCAGGGGTCCTCAGTTATGTCTTGTTACTGTTTTCTGGTATTGGAGCAGCATAGGTAGCTTGAGGACAGTGGTCTCAGTCTAAGTATCAGATGTAAACAGTGTTGTGTTGATGAAATGGTTGCACGCTTACTGTGATGATCGCCGATGTTTAGATCACTGCCAAAATGTAAACAGTGTGTAGATGCTGCGAACCTGTGAATAAGCATGTCCTCAGCTAGTCTGATCAGCCAGGCAGAACTTTCGCAAACCTGTTGATAGAAGCTGCATCTTGAAATGAGAACATGAGCAAACAAAAAGAATTGCACACTGGAGATGATGTAATTAAGTTTTGTAAACAGAATACAAGGCGGGCCCTCAGACATCCAAGGAAGGATTTAACAGCATAAGCTCTCAAGCCTGGCGAGGCGAAAGCTCTTAGGCGGCAACTGCGAATGTTATGAGAAACAAGCCTTGTTTTCATCATCACTGGGCAGGCATAACAAGCACTCTACTAAGATGTAACAATTAAATATGAAACATGAAACTGCTTGAACATCAATCACGTGAAGTTTACTAGGCAACAGGCATCAGACATCCAAGGAAGGATCTAGCAGCATTAGCTCTCAAGCCCGGCAAGGCGAAAGCTCTTAGGCGGCAACTGCGAATGTTATGAGAAACAAGCCTTGATTTCATCATCATTTGCCCGTCAGCAAAGCAAACTAAAACATGACACACATGAACAGAAAACTAAAACATAACCACACACATGGATACTTGGATGACAGTACAATTATCATTGCTACAGGAGACAGAACTTAACCCTAATCATAACCAAGAATACTAATGGCAAGACCCAATAGCAAATGTAAATGTAATGAAAACCATATGGCTCAGACATCCAAGGAAGGAGTTAGCAGCATTAGCTCTCAAGCCCGGCAAGGCGAAAGCTCTTAGGCGGCAACTGCGAATGTTATGAGAAACAAGCCTTAAGTTTATCATCATCGCCATAAAAGATTCCGTATTGACAAAGTTTCAATCCAATTTAAACATCAAATTTGAATCAAATTTAAATGTAGTCACAGAAACCGGCTCTGTGGACCGATGGAACAGCAGTCCCCAGGTTCCTATCAACTTGTGAGACGCCAGAATCAGCTTTGTCTCGGCCTGATCATAGCATCACAGCTCAATGCTCGTGGCTAACAGTGACGTGGCATCAGGCCTAAACAACCCAACCGTGCGAGATTAGCATCGCTCGTGAAATTGGAACATAAACCAAACCAAGCAGAACAAAACGGAAAAAAAAACAATCTGGCCAAAGGGTTAAAAACAATCTAGCCAAATAGGCAAACAAAGCGCGAGTAAGCATGGATCATAGATGGCTCGGCTGAGCGGAAACTCGGCATACAGATCCCATCTCCAAAGGCCTTGGAGAGAGACCTGTGATTTGGTCTGTTGAGCTTGAATTTCACCTAGTCGTCACAGCCACCACGAATCCATGATTATACAAGATATGAAAACGAAGATGTGCATACAAGAGATACCAATATACTTTACCATACAAGAGAGATTATTGGGGATTAACTGACGGATACGAGGGGCTTGGGAGAATGTTCCGTTTTGGCGGCGACGGTGAGCTTTCGATTGGGGGAGAGGGGATGCGTGTATATAAAGGAGGCAGGGGGGTCAAGGGTGCTAGGGTTTGCGGCGTGCCGGAGCCGGACTATTGGGCCGTAGCCGCCATGGATGGGCCCAGTTGCTTCTTCTTTGGGGTTGGGCTTAAATGCCCCCAGTCTAGTGGGCTCAAATAATTCGGCCTGGTGAACTATATCCCCGTCTCTCTCTTTGTGCAATTTTTCAGTACATTTCTCTCAGGCGCAAAACATTCACAACTCCGCGTATTTTGCTGCGGTAGCATTGAGATTGAATGAGGGTGTATTGTGGGTTTGTTTGGATTGATGCCAATTTTTGTCCTGTTAAAATTTTGGTAACTTTAACATTGGCAAATGCATATTTGTTTTGGTACCAAATTTTAAAACTATAATAGTTCAAATTCAATGCTACAAATTTTGGTAGTACCAAAACCGTATTGGAACTACCAAAATATTGGTAGGGCAAATTTTGGCTTCAAACCAAACAAGCCCTATCAGTTCATGTGGGTATTCTAGTTTTTTTGCAATGTTATTTTATATAATTCAGACTTGGGGGTCAACCATCTCGCAGACTTTGAACCACAGAATGACAATGACAGAATACAACCTTTGTGAAATTCAAATTGCCTCTAGAGCTTACACCATTTTTTGTCAATACTATAATCACGCACGATTGAATCGGCCTTTTGTAAAAACGAAAGAAGAAACATCACATTTTTGTTAGGTACCCTTAATATATTTATTATTATTTTTCGCCGGAACGGTGGAAGGACGCCGACGCCGATCTATCTTGAATATTATTGCAAGTGAGCTCCTTCCAAGCCGGCCACTTCTGATGAATTTATCAGATCAGACATTGGTCGTCCAACATTTTCGGACATGGATATGAGTGTTGTTAATGGCCTCATGCCTCCCATCCCCTCAAGAGGGTGGCACGTGCAACCCGGTTGACTCCCAGGGTGAACGCCCCCATCCTCAGGTTGCAATCATGAGATTTACACATGGCCTTGATGTGCTGGAAAGAATTGTTCATGTACTTGTGGAGCTCCATGTTCACCTTCTCCTCATCCCACATGAACCCTTGAATGTTCTGCAACCGTTCAAAGCGCATAAGGGAGATGCTGTATTCATCCAAAGCTAATGCGAAACAAGATCGTAGGAACCGGCATTTCAATTACCTGAACCCACTCAAAATAGCTAACGATCACACCACCGGAGTTGGCGTAAATGTCAGGTAATATGGTCACTCCCTTCTTGGCAAGAATCTGTAGTGCATACAGCATCAATCAGAACTGCCAAAATTGGCAACATTTCTGATGTTTCTCAAAGACAAAGTTAGGGTACAATGTTTTGTTCTGTGGTTACCTCGTCAGCTTCTGGATCAGTTGGATGATTAGCAGCTTCAATTATAAATTTGGCCTTCACATCAGGTGCATTTTCCCTTCAGAAGATCAATTATATGTAAATTGGCTATTTTTTTCTTGGTGCATACTACTGTTGAACTAGAATAATCAGATAAAATAGGTTCTTCAACATGTAACAAGATTACCGTCTAAAACAACTGTGTACCATTTAATGTCAAAAGTACAAAAAAGAAAAAACAGATAGGTATAATGGGTGAAAATGCAACTGCAACCAGGTAAGGACAGAGTTTCAAGAGTCATCCCCGACCCCGATAAACAACTCATATTGGCAGAAAATTTAAGGATCGACATGGACACTAGCTTTTACCTGTTGAGCACTCCACCTAAAGCGCATGGGATGAGAACATCGCATTCATGCACTAGTAGCTCTGAAGAATCCATGACTTCCGCATCATGAAAATCTTTCAAAGCACCACCCTCATTTCTGTGCTTCATCAGAGCAGGTATGTCTAACCCATTCTTGTTTCTGATTGAGCCTGTCACATCTCCAAGTGCAATCACCTTGCCACCCTTCTCATGGATGATTCGTGCAGCCCATGAACCAACATTACCAAAACCCTGGAAAATTCCATTGATTATTACAAACAAAATACATATGTTGCTGGCATACTGATAAAATGATAATGAACAGACTGATTTGATAGCTGAATTGCGGTTTTAAAATTTTCAGGAAGAAAGCTAGATTTTTTTTTTTTTTTGCTGTTATGATGATGCATGTTACTCCCTTCGTACCAAAATATAACAACTTTTAGCCCTCAGGATTTGTCCCAAAATATAACAACTTCTCCACCAACATTCTCTTCCCAACCAATAACAGCACTCCACCATTCACTTTTTCCACCTACCTCCACTACTCATCCAATTATGACCATCCACCTCTCACTTCTACCTACTTTCTTAATAACCGTGTCCAAGCCTAAAACTTCTTATATTCTAGGACGGATGGAGTATTGTCCTTCAACCATCCTAGAAATAATCCGCATAGCAAAAATCAATCGATTATTAATTATGACTGACCTGGATAACAAAGGTTGATCCAGAAATGGACTTTCCATGTTCAGCCAAAAGAGCCTCAGTAGCGTACATCACACCTCTTCCTGTAGCAGCATCTCTACCTAATGATCCACCAAGATCCTACAACAAAAATATCCAAAATACAATCACTGGATGTAAATTGTTATTTACACAAACTAGATTTGTGTTGTTGTATAGTATACTTACTATTGGCTTCCCAGTGACAACTGCCGGTGAATGACCATGGAATTTCGAGTACTCATCCAAAATCCAAGCCATGGTCTGTGTCAAAATTACAGGGGATGTTACATGATGAAGGGAAGTAGTAGAAAAATACTAGAGAAAGCAGAATATACCTGTGAATTAGTTCCCATGTCAGGAGCTGGCACGTCAGTATGAGCTCCAATAAGATCATGAATTTTCTGTGTAAATACACGTGTCAAACGCTCCAGCTCACTCGTGCTTAATTCACCAGGAGCGCATCCAATCCCACCCTTTGCTCCACCATATGGAATTGCTGCAACAGCAGTCTTCCATGTCATTAGTTGAGCAAGTGCATTTACTTCATCTGGATCAACCTGCAAAGCAGAATGGTGAAACCATAGCTTATTAGTTTTAGTTTTATTTTTTCTCGAACACGCAAGAGAGCTGGGTGCCATTTAAGAAGATAAGAAAGTTATAAAGGAGGGGGAACCTCACCCAAAATTCATTATCAATTGTAGTTTTAAAAATGAGAAACAGATGAATCTCAGACTACAATGAATAATTTATAAGACAAAGTATGGTCAGCAGAAAATATTATAGTTGACTTTCTACATTAGCTTGTGAAAGTCTTACGGTAATACTTACAAAAAATTCCTTTGCAAATTAACAACTGCTGACATCAATTGCTTACTCTAGGAATTGATTGATAGGTTAGCTGCTTTTCTGTTAGCTAACTGATAACAAACATCAATTCATCATCAAAGGAAATCCATTTATTTATTAAGTACAAAGTAAAACACGACAATAAAAGTCTCAGAAGCTCATAGCGCTTTTAATGCTTTATATTTATTAGTACTCCAGGAGACTGTTTTTTTTTTAACCTAAAATTTGAAAATCCCTCATCTTCATTTGGAACCTAAATGGTGCACATATATAACTCTGGCATTTTCAACAGGAAAATACCATAAGCTCGCAGTTTTGGAAAAACCTAAGGGATTATTCCCTAGGTTTAATTATAACAAGCACCTATCTGTATGAAATTTAATGGCTTCCAGCAACAAGAACCGAAGTATGATTGGAGCAGTAAAGAACAAAAGAAATTATCACAGAAGAAAACAAAGCTGGTTGAGTGGTTGTCTCCAATACTGAATACTAGCATCTGTAGCATGTCTGGGCATCAAACTTTCTAGTTTCTCAAAATGCCAGTTAAATAATAGTTCAAGAAAAAACAGAAATTACAGAAACAATTTGACAGAGGAAGAAGATTGGCATGTGCCCATTGGGATTCTTTTGTCAGTATGGAAAAGATACATTTAGGTTGACAGTTCAACAGAAAGAAATATAAATCTGAATGTAAAAGCACATAAGCGCATAGTAGTACAAAAGCAACACATGCTTTGCAAAATATCAAGGATTTTCAGTTCACGCCATCTGCATGACAAACTGACAGCCCAGTGCCCAGACGATCCACAAAATATCATAAAGTAGATTACAAATAAAGGTATGAAACTGAAAGTAACATCACGCACATTTCCTAAAAGAATAACTCACCGAACTGGAAAGGCCATATGCAAACAAGGAAGGAATAACAAGTTAACAAGTACCGTAGATCTAATAACTCACCAAAACGAAACAATGATCCCATTGACATGAGACAGTCACTGTCAAAACATTCCGAGTTTATAACCACTTCACTATTTATTCATGCTTAATCATCTCCGGTCAAATTTCCAGATAATAAGGAAGATGATTTACATCCCCGGCATTATTACTGGACAAAATCAAAAACAGATTCTCATCAAACCACAATCCTCACCTCAGGGTGATAGCGAATGCCACCTTTCATTGGCCCGCGGGCATTGTCGTGCTGCACGCGGAACCCAATGAAGGACGCCAAGGTTCCATCGTCTTTGGGGATGGTGCATTCCACCTGAACAGAGAGCGGGGTTACGCTACGCCTGATGAAACAACAAAGCCAGCAACCGCAGCAAAACAAGCTGGAAACAGGAATCAAAAAAAAAAAAAACCCCGTCTCACCTTGATCTCGCGGAACGGGATCAGGAGGCTCTTCTCGAGCTTGGAGTCGAGGCCGAGCAGCCTGGCGGCCTGCCGGAAGTTACGGCTGGTGGCGGCGAGCGCGTTCATGGCCGGGCCAAAGGTGGCGCGTCGCCCTCCAAGAAAATTAGCGCCCGCGGCCGGAGAAGAAAAAAAAAAAGGGACTCGCCTTTCGAACAGAGCACGCGACTACGGACCGCGCGCGAGCAAGATCGATCCGGGGGGGACGAGGCGTTCGCGCCCAAAAACGGAAAGAGGAAAAAAGATGGAGCCTTTTTTCTCTCTCCGGGGATCGAGGAGGAAGGCACGGGAGGAGGTCGGCCGGCTGCGTTTGGCTTGAATCGTGAGGAGGAAGAGGAAGAAGCGTGCTGTATTAATAGGGAGGGGGGATCCATCCATCCAGGTAGGCGGAGCAAGAAAGCAAAGATAGGATCAAAGAGCTGTGCTAATTGCTAAACTCAGCCAGAAAATCCTCTCTCATCTGTTGGGAAGGTGACTCATCAGAGCCGATTAGAAATTTAGAACCATAGCAGCACGTGTGTGGGGAAATTTTGCACGGTAATTTCTAGTACGAGGGATTATGACTGTGTATAAGCAAGAAGATTGAGGACGAAGCGGGTCAAAGATTGTAAATTTCGAACGCTTTTCCTATTTCCTACTAGTACAATATTACTTGGTTTCTTCCATTGCTTTGGGCTCTCTCTCATCTCTCGCTGAAAGCTGTGTTTAGTTCCACATTAAAATTAAAAGTTTAAAGAATTTGAAACGATGTGACAAAAAAAGTTAAAGATTTATATGTAAAAAAAATTAATGTGATGAAAAAGTTAAAAATTTAAAGAAAAAAATTAGAATCTACACATGCCCGAATCTTCCAGGCTCCACCACCACTAGCGTCAAGAACTACTCGTCGTCTACTCCTCTTTCATCATACTACGAGTAAACCAGTAGTCTGTGGTCCACCTGTCAGCGGAAGTGCACCGTCTCCTGCGGTCCTGCCCTGCCCTTTTTCGTTTCTCCCTTTTTTCTGGCCCAGCTACCGCCTGAAGCCCTGAGCTGAAATGAACGTGGTTTCAGGTTTTTTTTTGTCTGCATCTCACTCCGGATTCTCTGCCCTACCTTCAGGGCTGGATTGTTTTGAGGCCTAAATTAGTCTTATTAATATTTAGTAATTTTAATAGTATTTAGTGTCTATTTGGTTTGAAGTCAAATTTTGGCATGCCTAAGAAAATAGATCATTTCAATAGTTAAGTTAGGCTATTTTGGCTTCAATCCAAACGCAACTTTACCTTGCCAAAATTAGCCATACCAAAACTTGATAAAATTTGGCATTGCCAAAAATTAGTAAGACCAATTTAGACCACCAACCAAACCAGCCCTCAATGCCATGTTTGGTCTCTGGTGGTGTTGGTCAGTCAGTGCTAGACTGCTAGTGCTGGGACGATGCCACTACTGTATTTTGGCCTGGGGTGTGTTTAATTCACGTCAAAATTGGAAATTTGGTTAAAATTGAAATAATGTGAGGAAAAATTAGAAGTTTATGTGTAGGAAAGTTTTGATGTGATGGAAAAGTTGGAAGTTTGAAGAAAAATTTTGGAACTAAACTCGGCCCTGGTTTAGTTTCCAAAACAATTTTTTTTATCCATCACATTGAATATTTGGAGACATATATGGAGTATTAAATATGAAAAAAAAATCAATTAAACAATTTGCATGTAAATAGCGAGACGAATCTTTTAAGTCTGACGGAGCTTGGGGCTCCTCACCGGGAGACCGCGCAGGCCCCCCTTTGCCGGTTCGGCCGGGGGCCCTGGGTGAGGTTCTAAACTCCTTGTCTGTGTGTGGAAGGTTCGCGAGAATGGAAAAAGCACAAGACACGGGCGATGTATACAGGTTCGGGCCGCTGAGAAGCGTAATACCCTACTCCTGTGTTTTGGTGGATCTGTGTATGAAGAAGCTACAAAGTGCGGGCCAGCCCCCGATCGTTCTGGGATCGTTTTTTCCCCTCCCCTCTTCTAAGTGGGCAAGGTCCTCCTTTTATATCTCAAGGGGATACCACATGCACCATCTCTCCCTCTCTTTCTTTTGTGGGGACTTATCCTATCTTTTCATAAACAGACGGAGACTTGTATGGTTGGCGTCCGAATGACCTTCTGATGGGACGGCCCACACCTACCTCCACTTCCGGCGGAAGCAGGCGCGACGTGGGAACATGGCTGTCTGCTGACGACATGACCAGTGTCCGACCGGTCACAAATCGGTCATTCTTGTCCACCACGCGTCAGTTTATCAATCTGCATGTTCGCCCCTCTTCATACAAGGTCTTGCTTGTAATGGTTAGGATGAAGCCTGGCATATATCTGACCGGAACCAACGTGCCATCTCTAGGAGCTAACACGCCGGCTCCGGCTAGGGACGAGTGCTTGGAGGCTCTCGTCCTGACGGGATGGGGCGAGGCGTGCGTCAGACCGCCTGTCGCCACCTAACCCACGATTTGACCGGTCTGTGACTGATCACAGACCGGATAAACGAGCGCGCTGCACTGCGTTACATGCGGCGTGACGCGCTCGTCCAAACCGCAATAAATGTGGTTAGGTGAGCCCCGCTATGCTCACCTACCCCATATACGCGGCGCAACACCCACAAGGGTTCGGGGCGCCTCGGCCCTCGGGGCTGAGACGGGAGCGGTCCGACCCCTCGGGGAGACAAAGAGAAGGGCGGCCGTATCACCCTCGGGCCCGACCCCCCGAGGGGGTTAGGCCACGTGGGTGATCGTGTCTGCCTCAAGTCTCTAAGTCATGATACTCCCGGTCCCATGTCACCGACAAAGTCTAATTGTGCCATGATTTGATAATGCGGTGCTATAGTAAACATTTACTAATGACATATTAATTAAGCTTAATAAATTCGTCTCACAGTTTTCTGGCTGAATCTGAATTTGTTTTGTTATTAGACTACATTTAATACTTTAAACGTGTGTCCGTATATCCGATGTGACAACCAAACTCAATTTTTTCCCCAACTAAACAAGACCTTTGGATCCCAAGTTGCTCCCTGGCAGCCTCATCATCTGCCTACAAGGAAAAAAAAACACAAATATTAGAAAAGAATCTAATATCAAATAATTAAAAGGGGTGATGTATCGAATCCAGGTTGGCTATCCCTATACCTTGTGAAGCTACCCCTAGCGTTTCTCATCTGCCACCATCTGTACTATTATAAAAATTAAAGATGTTTTCACCGGTATTTTGGTACGTCATTTGTGTTTGATTTGGTTTTTAAATTTGTTCGTTTTTAAATACATATTCGTGTTTGAGTCGGATTCTAAGTTCGTTTGCTTTTGGAAATGCAAAAGGAGTCGTATAAGAAATCTTTTTAAAAACTTGCATGCTAACTTGAGATAAATGTTGGACTCCTAATTGCAGCTCATGATTTTCTAGAAAAAATAATCAAGCGAATTCCCATAGTGAAATTCACCCTAGCCAAACCGTATAACAATAATTAGGTTAAAATAGCATTTATCTGTTGCAACGCACAAGCATATTTTCTAGACAAAACTCAATTTTGAAGATTATTTTAGAATTTTTTTAATTTAGCTTCCTTCTAATATTTGTTTTTAAGTCGTTAAATACACACACAAATAAGCATGTGATTAATTGAGGGTGGATTATTTAAAAAATATTTGTTTTAAAAAGTAACTTCTACGTATATTTTATATAAAAACACCATTTATCAATTTTAAAAACATACTAGCAAAAATTGAGAAAATAATCAAGCCGATCCTTTAGTCAAGAGCAGACCCGAAGAGGCTAGCATGGGGTAGCGCCTGACCCAGTCAGCATCTAGCTCAGTTGAGAACTTGAGATTCGTGAGATAATCTCGCTCGCGAACACTCGTGGACTAGAGACCTCCCCGCAGCCGGCTGCCTCCCCAGGAAAAGTGCTGTTCAAAAGAGATCCACCCCGTCCAAAAGTCTGGGCGGCGGATGTGTATGGCCGTGGAATGGGTGTGGGTGCTTTGGAGTTTGGACAGTGGGCAGCAGCACGCACAGAACAGTGCTCGCCCATGTCCGTAATTCGTTAAACAGATCATGTGTCAAACAAATCTCTTTCCCATCCCGTAGGGTGGCAAAATCTTCGATTCTGCGCGGGGACAATGGTCTGTTCTCAGGGTGGCAAATCATTTTGATTGCACATCGCTCGGATATTTCCATTTTCGAGTTGCCCGTAGATGGTGTCCAGCCACTCCGAAGTCCAATTGTCCAAGCTCCAAAATGCAAGGACTCTTAAAATACAAACACCTTAGAAGTCTCTGTGAGTATTAAATTGTTGAGATAAGAAGTAGATGAAAAATTATGATTAGTTGAAATAAAATAGTAGGTGAAAAATAAATAAGAGAGGGTTATAATAAATTCTTATGCAAAAGATGACTTATTTTGGAACGACGAGAGTATAACAAATAAGTAAAAAAGAAAAGCTATAAGTAGTAACTTTTATTTAACTATATATGTCATAATCAAAGGTAGTAGAAGTGAAGAAAATAGTAAATTTTGTGCCACACTATATATGTCATAATCAAAAGATACGGAGAGTACTAGGAGTAGGACATTATACGGGAACTGAAAAATTAGACCTTTTTATGGGTACGCGCACTACATCTTTTTTTTTCTTTTCTTTTTCTCAAACTGGTCCTCCTCTGCTCTCCACTACATGGCCTCCCCCACACTCTTGTTTCTCTCTCATGGTGGTTCCTTGAATGCAAAACTAACTAATTAACTAGCGTTGAATGATTTTTCCTTCAAAATTATTTATCCCTTATATTCACTACAACTAAAATTTTACAACAAGATCAAATGCAATTATATTTTGATGAAAAAAATACAAAACTTAGTCAAATATTTTAATTAATTTTATTAAAACATTTAACTAAGTTTCAATTAATTTTATTAATTCAAATGTTTCAATTAATTTTATTAAATATTTTAGAAAAATGCAACATTTAAGAAATATTGACAGTATCACTGACACCTTTTGCATAAAACGTTGAGTCACAATGAGTGCTTCATCGCAAAGAAAAAACATACGACAAATCTAAATATACTTTTACCAATAATTAATTATGTTGAATTTTTTTATCACAAGTGAAACATCAAGTTGTAAATGTTTAGACATCATAAAAACTAGTTGAAATATAAAAAATAACCACGTGAAACATCTACAAATGAACTAGTGAAATATCATGAAATAATTATTGAAACATGCAAATAAAGTTGTACGCAACATTAAAAAAAAGGCAACAACAACAAAACTTTTAAAAAATCAAAATATAATCATATAATATTTTGTCGTAAAGATTTAATTATAACAAATATAACAATATATTCAAATCGTATATCGGATATCGTACAAAGTTGCTTTATCACTTGGAAGAGTAGAAGCCAAAATGGTCCTCACATGTACTGATCCTTGCTAAATTGGGGCATCCAGTTTTTCTCCTCGCACCAAACGTCCGAGGAGTCCAAGGACTAGGCGTCCAATGTCCGATGAGAACTAAAATTTTGGACGCTACTGTGGTACGCATGCCATTGCTTGTTATATTGGGGCATCCAATTTTTCTCCTTGAGCCGGATATTTGAGGAAAAACATTCTTTTAGAGATGACTTAGCGTCGGACGTCCGACGAAAATTAAAATATCATATGCTACTGTAGTACGCATGGTGGTCCTCCTATGCTCTGCTCCACATGGCCTCCCCCCTTCTCTCTCACTCATCTTCCATGATGTCTCATTAAATACCAAACTAACTACTAATTAATTAGTTTTAAACAATTTTTCTTCTAAATTATTTATTCAATATATGATTTGATTATGCTGTTGTATTCGTTACAATTAAATCTTTGTAATAATTAAATCTTTATAATAAGATATTACATTATTACACTTTAATGAAAGAATATATATAAAAAAATGTTGCGTCCTTATTCTATATGACATATGAAACATCAATATGTAAATGTTAGAACATCACAAAACATTGGGTGAAATATAAAAAAAACATCACTTCAGCATTTAAAAATGAACTAATAAACATAGTAAAATACTTAATGAGACATATAAACAAAACTGTGTACAATATTAAAAAAAATCTACAATAGCAAAATTACTAAAAAAAAATTCCTTCCGAGTAACTTGTCATAAAGATTTAATTATAATAAATACAACGGCATAATACGATAATAGCTGAAATAAATAATTCAGGTGAACAATTATTTTGAAGATTGATAGACTTTATTTTATCGCTTAAGAGTGTGTTTAGTTCACGCTAAAATTGGAAGTTTGATTGAAATTAGAACGATGTGACAGAAAATTTGAAAGTTTATGTGTATAAGAAAGTTTTGATGTAATGGAAAAGTTGAAAGTTTGAAGAAAAAATTTGCAACTAAAGTCCTTAAAAGAGAGATGAAGTAGTGCACTCCTGCCATGTTTGCTATATCGGGGCGTCCCTTTTTTTTCTCGGGTAGCAGGAGAAGCATTCTCTCAAAGATACGACTACCTCCCCCAAAAAAAAAAAAAAATCAAAGATATGGGGGGTGTGTGGGGGGAGTTGAAATTAGTACCAGTCAAATAACGAGACCGGTTTTGCAGATCAGATGAAATCATATGATGTTCTCCATGCGACTAACGTCTCGGCAGTCGGCCCGATGTTCCTTCCGAGCAGCCACCACCGGTCCATTGTAAAGTCCGACGCCGAAGCTGTCACCGACCGACGGAGCAACACGCCATCACCCCTGCGCGCCGGGTGGAATATGGACGCTCGCCCCGCGGCCGATACGGAGAGCCCCCACGCCATCACGCTTCACGCAACGCAGACGCGAGCCCAGCCAGCCGGCGGGCGTCACATCCCGATGTGCATGCAGCTCACCTGCACACACACTCGCGAGTGGAGTAAAATCACAGGTCAAATGGTGGCCGCCATGGGTGAAAAGTGAGACCGTGAAAGCGAGCGGGCTGCGTCGTTGAAACAACACGCGCGCTATAGCTGACACCGCGACACCTCATATATACATACACATATTAAACATAGACTAATAATAAAACAAATTATATAATACACATGTAAACTACGAGATAAATTTATTAAGTCTAATTAATTCGTTATTAATAAATATTTACTGTAGCACCACATTGTCAGATCATGGTACAATTAAGCTTAAAAGATTTATCTCGCAATTTATACGCAAACTGTGTAATTATTTTTTTAAAATATTTAATACTCCGTACATGTGATAAAAAACGTTCGATGTGTGACTTGGAAAAAAAATTTGCCGTTTGATCTGAACCCCCTGTCCGTAGTAAGAATAGGTGGGTGCGGATAAGCGCGGCGGCCCGGGGGCGCCGCGTCGAGGCGGCGTCATGCGCCTCATCCGCGGATAATCCTTTTTCTAATCCATCGTTACCTGTAGCACGCATGCTCAAACGCGGCCACGCGGGTCCAACCGCGAAGGGGAAAGGGAAAGAAAGCTGAAAGTCAATGGCTTCTGTTCTACTCCAGAACAGAAGGGGATAGGGGAGTACCAGCCAGCGCGCTGGCACGCGACGTGGACTTCCGTATCCGTAAATGGCGTATGCTTCTAGTTAATATCATCGTTAAGAATGCTAAACAATCATTAGATCACTGGACACATCAAATCAAAAAAATTAAAAAGAGAAGCCACAGTCAAACCCGTCCATGGTAGTCTGGCATCTGGCAAAAGCTGCTAGAGATGCTCGACAAGCCGAAGTTAGCAGAGGCCGTTGCTTTGCATCAGAACGAAAGCCCATTATGGCTGACCAGCTCTCCTCCGTGCTCCGGCCCAACTAGAGGAATAACCCAGCAGGGGCACAGTCCGGTTGGTCCGTTGCGGCCCATAATATCCGATTATACGATACATGGCTCGTATTCTTGTTTGCTCGAACACGAGTATAGTGTATGTATACATGTTATTCATTCATCGTACAACTCCATCCGCTCGCATACGTATACGTAAGTAATATTTGTATATACCAGGACTATCCCTGTTCGGGGCTTCACGGGCTCAACGCCGCGGCGGGGAAGACAGCGAGGGGGATCCTCACGGTGTGCTTCTTGTCGCCCCTGAGGACCACCTCGCCGAAGCTGAAGGTGTTCCCCGGCGCGGTGGTGTTGAGCACGATCCTCAGCGTGGCCGTCGCGCCGGGGGCGACGGCGAACGTGTCCGGCGACACGCGCACCGCCACGCCGTCGGGCGCCTGCACGTGCGCCATGTACGTCTCGTTCTCCGCGCCCACGCTCGTCACCCGCCGGTCCACCCGCCGCGACCCCACCAGGCTCGCCACCGTCACGCTCGGCGCGTTCAGGTCCGAGCACCACCGCGCCCGCGACGGCGGGCAGGGCACGCCCACCGCGCGGAGCACCGCGGCGTCGTCCACGCCAGGCACGGCGCACAGGAACTGGAGGTAGTCCCGGTACCCGGCGTCGAACACCAGGCCCGGGTCGACGGCGCGCGCCGCGTTGATGGCCCCGGCGCCCATGTCGAACGGCGTCGCGCGCTCCAGGACGCCCCCGTCACGCCGCGCCATCAGGGGCCTCCCGGAGCGGTCGGTGACGTCGGCGGTGGTCATGATCGCCGACATGACCATGGCGGGGCTCCACTTGGGGTGCCTCTGCCTGATCAGGGCCACCACACCGGCGACGTGCGGGGTGGCCATGCTCGTGCCGGACAGCATCGCGTAGCTCTCGCCCTGGAACTCGACCATGGCGTCGCTCGTCGGGCTCCAGGCTCCCCAGATGTGATGGCCCGGCGCCATGACGTTCGGCTTCAGCACGTCCGCCGCCTGCATCTGCATGTCGTCGACGTCCGGGCCCCTCGACGAGTACTCGGCGACGACGGGCGCCTCCCTGGTGTAGATTGCTCGCCGTCCATCCAGAATTCGGATGGTTGCGCCGAACTTGGTGACACTTCCTTCCTTGTCTCGGACCAAGTTGTCGTCGTAGTACTCCAATAGAGCCTGCATCCGGTTGCAAAACACAACAGAGCCCAGTTACTGCATAAGAGAATAGTAAAACTGAACAAGGGCATTAGCAAATCATTTGGTCTGCAAAAATGTTTCTACAATCACCTGTGCATCAGCACTGTTCACAACTATGGCTGAAGGGATTGACGTCGGAAATGTGGGATGATATTCAATGTCGGAGTCACTCGAAGAACGGTCAGTGATGATAACTCCGGCAGCACCAATTTTCTGAATCGTATCGACAATGCCAGCAAGGAAGTCGCCTTCGTAGTAGTTTGACGACACAAACATGCAAATAATCACCTTCCCCTGGACAAGAGATCTTATGAAGACATCCGGATCTTGGCAGTTGGAAGATCCACCAGTTGAATTCGTGTTGCACACATCATCAGCCAATGCTAGAGGGTACATGGTCTCGCCTGGTGTCGATGCTGGACAGAACAAGGAAGACTGTTGAAACAAAATTGGTACCAGGTGAAGAAATTGAAACGAAGAAAGCCCCAGTATAATGTTAGTTTTCTAGCTACTTCAGTGCAACCCTAACAGAATGATGATGTAATCTAGGACATATAGAATCTAAGAGCAAAATGAACTACGAATTCTGAAAGAAAAAGAAAAGAGAAGTATGGAACTTAGTATCATCAGTTAAACACTAGAACTTGAGAAGGCTCCAAATTCATTAATTTCATAGGTTGAAATGAATTACGTGATAGGCCGCCGCAAGAGAAGACTTGCCCATTTCCAATTATAATTGATTTGTTATACTTCCTGTCAGTTGTGGATGCCCCAACACTTGTTATCCATGGGCTGAACGAAACTACTGAGTTTGCATCAGGGCCTCCATTGCCAACTGCTTGAACAACTGAGATCCCAGCCTTGGTGGCAAGGAGAAGTTGTGTCTCGAGCAAATTGAGGAATGATGCTGGCCCAGATGTAATAGTAGTTGGTCCCAGTGAAAGACTGATAATATCGACGCCATCTTCTACAGCCTGCATATAAGTTACACTGGCATTTTAACCTACGGAAGAGAATAGTAGTTATGAAAGAAGTATGATTTACAAACCTTGTCAACTGCAGCTATAACATCTGACATGTATCCACCAAAAGAATAGGCAGCTTTGTAGATTGCAAGACTGTCACATAATCAGAAGAGACAGCACAACATAAGAGTAGTTTTGCTTTGAACATCTGAAGAATGGAATAAGCATTGTTCACTCACTGAGCTCCAGGTGCTACGCCACTTGCATGCCCAAAGTTGTAGCCCTTTGATATTGCTGGCGTATGAAAATTGCCAGCTGCAGTGGACGCTGTGTGGCTGTGTAGGCAATGTTTTGATCAGTTGGTACTTGGTAAGTCCTTGAAATTAAAAATGCAACATAGGCAAGTCGTAAAGAAAAAGTGATTAGCATTGTTAGCAAAGGAGCATGCACCTGCCATGGCCATCAGGATCGTAAGGAGATGCATAGTGCATTGTAGCATTGAACTCTCCAGTTGCTTGACCAGCACGTGCAAACCACCTAGCTCCAACAATCTTACCATTGCATGAATCTGGAGGAAATCTTTCGCCAGTTTGACATGTTCCTTTGAAACTGGCCGGTGGTGGTTTTGCTTGGTCCGATGTGCTTAAAAAGCTTGGGTTGCTGGGGTCAATGCCAGTATCTACCATGCCAATGACTACTCCGTCACCAGCCTTCTCGGCACCACCGAGGAGCGGCCAGACTACATTAGCTCCAATGTACCTCGGAGTGTATGTGGTCATCTTGGCCATTTTTATATCTTCTTGGATGAGTCTAACTCCTTTTGCTCCACTAAGAGTTTTAATTGCCTATTACACATACAACAAAGACAGATAAATATTTCATAAACAGGTAAGCAGATAAAAGATCAACTAAATAGAAGCACCTTTTCAGATTTTGCATAGATAGCAAAGCCATTGAGAAGGTGGGTGTAACTGTATAGCTTCTTGTAAGATCCAGCTGGGAGAAATGAATCCAGGAAGATATCATGCTTCGTTGTGGTCATTGCCTTGTACTTCTGAGCTTCCTCACCTCTCCTGGATGAAAGTTCAGTCATAAATGTTCTTTTCCAAAAAGAATTAAACTAACAGGATTCCTAAATGGAAGTCACGTACATTACTTTCTTTTGGCTTGACTTGGGGGAAATGATTGGGTCATCCTCCATCACCACCATAAAAACCTTTGCAAGTACATGAGATGGACCACCATTTAGGATCAGAAAAGTAAGAACAGAATAGAATACTAGACATGGTTTGCAAAAAGCCATGACAATAGTGTCACTTGAACAATCGTATGAAGTTTGAAACTTATATGCCTGAAGGTATGCGTTTATAAGTGCAAGCATAGGATTGCCTGAAAGAATGTTAGGTGAGGATCAACAAATGTCTTCCTCATAGCCAAGACAAGCATGCAATAAGCACTTGCCTATCTCCATGGGAGCTTCGAGTCCTCAACTACCAAGCATTCTTTTTGATTGTCCTTGTTTTAATTAAAGTCGAGTTGGATTATCATCCTGGAGTTTGGTGAAGACCGAAAGCACACATACATCTCCAAACAAGATTGATGAATAAAACCAAACAAGCTGAAGCTGCATATTCGGAGGTTAATTAAGGGCAAGTCAATGCACTTTGGGATGCAGTTCTCAGAATAGTATTCCCCTGAATCTACATGGACAGAATCAGTTCTTTTTTTTTTTTTAGATAATGGATAGATATTGTGAAACATATATGCATCTGATCTGATTTCAAGAAAGAGCAGTTACACTGCAAGCACAAAAATACATTTTCTCAGTTTCCTCCTTGGCATTCTTTGAGTGACTGCAAGAACCAACCTAGCTTCCACCTCCACCAAATCACACAAAGATCCATGGTGACGCTGTTGTGCTTGTGCCCAATCACAAGGCGCACCTACAGGAAGAACACTCTTGACTCTTTGCGGCCCGAATGGAAAATCCACGGCACCGACCCCGCGCCGCCGCAACAATAACCGGAGATCTTGCGACAAGCTGTTACTACCCAACCATAGTTCTTCCGTTCCGCAGGGACACGAACGAGTTACTAATACACAGCTATGCTAAGGGGAAAAGGGCACAAACCATCGGCCCCGACGGCCTCGATCTCCATGGCTGCTTCCTTTTGCCGTCTTGAAGTGACACCACCAGGGTTGGGAGGAGGAGGAGGAGGAACAGGGAGTCCCTTCTCCTCCCCTCGCCGCGAGCTCCCCATTTTTTCCTCGTTTTGCTTCCGCCGTGCGATTGCCGGCTGCCGCAGCGGAGAACGAAGCTAGCGGTAGCGGAGAACGGAAAGAACGGTGGGCTGCAGTTGTTCTACTAGGCCCAAGGTTGACCAAGGAGATGGCTTTTCTTGGAATTTGGGTTTATCTTGGCCCACTAAATATGGCCCATTTACCATTGTGATGATTACAAATTGAAAAAAAAAAGAGTTTATTTAACTCCGAATTATTTCATTGGTTCATTTGACCAACTAAACTATTTTTGGTTCATTTTACCTTTAAACTATTAAAAATAGTTTACTTTATTGCTTAATATAGCATTTCTCATATTTGATTCTCTTTACATGAGTCGCATTTTAAACTACAATTTTGTAGAGCTATAGATAACACTATTATCAAAGTTCAAAAATATTTTCAAAAGCTAAAATTTTGTAGATCCATTGGTGTTTAAATCATGCTTAGTGCTTCAAATATTTGTATATAGTAACGATTTTTTTTGAATAATATTGTGAGGTAGGTTATAATGTACCTACCAATCCTACCAAATTTCATTGCAATGAACCATTAGGAAGTAATATGATCCGTTTTTAATAGTTCAGGGTGTAAAATAGGCCAAAAAATAGTTTTACTTGGCTAAGTGAACCAATGAAATAGTTCAAAGTAGTAAAATGAATTTTTTTTCTCACCGACTCACCAGAGCTAAGCCCTGTCGTTGTTTGATTGCAATAGTTGAACAATATAGCAATAGGGGGTGACAGATTCACCGCTACTAGGCTGTGTACATCCTTTGGGTGTAGAGACCGGTTTAATCCATTATCTAAAAAAAGATTCACCGCTACTACTACTCCTTTTTAAAGGAGTATAGACAATGGAATAATTCAGTAAGCAATGAAATATACATTCTATTCCAGGCATTGTTTCAAACATGGGTAATTTTTTCATGATTTTGATATGGGAATGAATTGTTCTCCAACACTTCTTCCTTTTAAATTTGTGTGCAATATTATTGATGTTCAGATATTTTGTTAGTTGTAAACATAAGCTTAAGTTACCTTTTCAATAAGGAAGAGGATTACATCTTGGCCTCTGCAGCATAATACAAAATCCAGATGGTATTTGACTTTGGGCAATTGGGCCTGAACAATCTCAGCTTTTCTCAATATATATACTGAACACCCACATGAACATGGCATAACCTTTTCTGAGTTCAAGGTATGGGCGATTGGATTAGGATTTATACTATCATACACCTCATTATCCCTATTCCAAATTAAAGGACAGGCTAGGCTGCATGCCTAGACCTGTAGCATCTAACCTACACCCTCCACTTTGATTAACAGATGATTCCATGCTAGCCTTCTGGCCACAAATCAAAATGATTAATTAGCAGTTGCAAAGCCGCCCTCTCTCTTTCCATCAAGGCCACCATTAGTGGCAGACGATGTGTCAAGTGTGATACCTTGTGTTGTTCTTTCTTCAGGAACCCCATATAGTGCCAGCTAGCTGCTGCTTAAGCCCTTTTTACATAAGCATATCCTACGCGAATAGTGCTTAGACCGCTCAGGCAGGAAGGCTGCAGCTAGCTAGACAGCTAATCTTTAGCTATATAATCTTTACTCGATCGAGTATTAATTACATACAGTATTCCACCGATCGATCTGCAGTTCTGAATAATTCTGACGCTTTCATGCAGCAGCTCGTCCTCGCGTTGATGTGTGGCTATTCGATCGTTTTATGCTTGCTCTCTGAATCTTTGACTGCTCTGAACTTGTCTTGGCCTCTCGTTCATGCCGTTTAATGTACTCCAGCTATCCTCATGCATATCACTATGTCTACAAAGTCGCGTGCTTTTGTAAAGTTGATCAAGGAATTGGATCAGTATTCAAAGAATCACTTTTATTCCACAGTTTTATTCCGCTTATCATATACTATCTCGATTGGACACTTTTTATCAACTGTTTAATATACCTAACCAGGTCAAGGATTTGATTCGGCATGCTGCCAAACCTAGTGATTATGGGAGATGACCATCTTTTATGCTTTGGTTCTTCTTGCTGAATTCCATAATGTTTGCTCATCTTATGTATGATCAGGAGATAGAGCAACTTGATTATCCATTAACAATATTATTTCGTCCTTTTAATTTGGATTCAGCTTTGATACTTTGTTGTAACTGCGCACATGTGTGAAACTACTGGAAATAAAATAAATTCAATGGATGAGTGAGATCTAATTACCTGACAGTCCTTTTTGCTTAATAATTTTCACCAAGTGTGAATGGCTTGTCGACACGTCGGCATATGCTCATGCATATGAGATGTTTCCTACTAGATCATGTTTATAGCATCTCTCTCGCTGCCTCCTTATAGGGCTCATGTAGATTTGACCTCCTTTGCTTGTGGTTAGGTATTAATCTTACCTGCTAAACCAGTTGTCATCAGGAGACAGGAATCATATCTGGTCTCTGCTGCATGCATGGATTTGATCACCATTTACAAACAGCTACTTGAGGCATCTACATGTCTGTACCTCTGAAGTCTGAACCTCATGCCATGTGAGCTTCATTTGTTAGCAAGCAGACAACACATTAGCTTTTGAGGAGCCATGATTACGGAGTAATTTCCATGGTCACAGTCACAGCGGACTCTGTTTCGATAATATAAGAGGATTTTTACAGTCCAACGGTACCTTACGGTACCGATTATTGACCGTTGGATCGAGACAGATCGAACGGCTGGCGTAGATCGGTACCGCGGGGTACCAGTTTTGTCCCCGAAGCGGTACCGAGTGATGATAATCGGTGGAAGGGCAGTATTGTAATTTCGCGTGCAATTGATGGGTCTGGATCGAGATCGAGCGGCTTGAACCCTAGCGAAGCTGGATGATTTTCGCCGCCGCCGCCGCCGTGTTCTTTTTCCTCGCCACCGCCGCCGTGTTCCTCTTCCACCGCCGGACTTGTTCCTCTTCCGCCGCCGGACTTGTTTCCTCTCCCGCGCCGCCGCCGTTCCGTTTTTTCTCTCTCGCGCCGCCGCCAGACTTTATCCTCTCCCACGTCGCCAGCGTTCCCTTGTTGCTCTGCGCCGCCGCCGGGAACGACAACGACTTGGACGCCGCTGCCGCCGGGAACGATGACTCGAAACAGGTACTCCCTCATCCACCCTTGCTCATCTTTTCTCTCCCGATCCTACCCATCCCGGATTCAACGGTTAGATGTGTTTTGGTACCGCGCGGTACCAGTACCGCCCGGTACAACCTGCTGTACCATAGCAATCCTCATAATATAAACATTTCTACGTATTTTTGGCATTTCAGCTCGGTTCATATTCATCGTTAGAAATGCTTACTTATATTTTAAAATGGAGGAAGAATTATATAGAGTACAGCAGTATCTAGCAGCGACCTAGCTAGCTGCTAGCAATTTCTGCATGCAGGAGACTTCAGAGATCAGATCACTTAAATTTTTTCAACTGTATATAGTTCAGACTTTTAGATTGTTCAGCGTTGGACTGGGTGTACAGTGTTGTTTCAGAGAAGGGCATTTAGCACACCCCAACTGTTGAGCATCAGAGCATGTGCAAATATGGCTTTCATGTGTCCTATGAGCTGAACACATGTGTGGACACTGAGCCAGTGAGCAGAGGCTGCTTGGAAATTAAGCTGCAAAAGACAGTGCCTTAATTTGAAGCTACTCCAGCATACTCCATGCAAGCTCTAGCTAGCTAGGTCAGTATACTTGCAGTAGTCAGTACTCAGTACATATATGTGCTGTCCGAGCGCGAGCAGAGAGAGACTTCAATTCATTTCCCACCGTCCAAATAAAACACTGAATTCGAATATTGAATGCTCTTTCGCGTCGCGGCATATATATATGAATCTCCGATCGATGCGGCTCGTCGTCGCAGCTAGCAGCTAGCACAGCTGAGAAGAGATGGATCAGTGAAGAAGTTAAACCATGAGCAGGCTGTAATGACAGTGGGAGAGAGCTTGATTAGTTTGCAGGTTAATTGGTTGGTGTAGTAGTCATGGCGGCGCTGCGTGACGTGCTGCTGTCGATCGCGCAGACGCCGCACCGGCTGCGGCGGCGGGCGCTGGTGACGTGGACGCCGGCGCAGGAGACGAGCGAGGTGAGGGACAGGTCGGGGGCGCGGATGAAGCGGCGGCTGGAGTGGTACGACCTCGTGGGGCTCGGCGTCGGCGGGATGCTGGGCGCCGGCGTCTTCGTCACCACCGGCCGCGTCGCGCGCGACACCGCCGGCCCCGCCGTGTTCGCCTCCTACGTCATCGCCGGCGTCTCCGCGCTCCTCTCCTCCTTCTGCTACGCCGAGTTCTCCGTCCGCGTCCCCGCCGCCGGCGGCGCCTTCAGCTACCTCCGCGTAACGTTCGGTGTGTGTGCCTGCCATTAACCTCTTCGCGCGCGCGCGCGCGCCACCATAAAATCCGCAGTTAATGGCGCCGTGCAAACGGTTCAGGGACATTGTTGAATTAATCCAACGCACTCTTCAACGATCGATGGATCAATTCAATCGAGCGCGGTTAATTGACTCCATCTGTTGCTCTCATCAGGTGAGCTGGTGGGGTTCTTCGGGGGAGCCAACATCCTGATGGAGTACGTGCTGTCGAACGCGGCGGTGGCGAGGAGCTTCACGGACTACCTGGCCTCGACGTGCGGGATCACGGAGCCGGACGCGTGGAGGATCCAGGTCGACGGCATCGCCAAGGGCTACAACGCGCTCGACTTCCCGGCCGTCGCGCTCATCCTTGTCCTAACTCTCTGCTTGTGCTACAGGTACACATACTACAGATCATTGTTGAGTCGCATTTGATTTGATTACACGGACATTGATCCGTTGATAAAAACTGTTTATTAAGTAGAAGTGAATCGCTTTGTGTTTTTCGTTACCTTAAGCTTATGGGTGAAATGACTCAATAATACTTCTTCGATTTGTCATTTTTGTACTGGTGTGTACTTAACCTACCCTAGCTAGCTTGATTTAATTAGGCGCAGCGGCATGCATGTGGTTTTGTGTTCTTAGATCCTATATTTTATGGCAGACATGGTACTGGCAGAATAGAGCTAATGTCCCCTTGCCATGGGCTAGAGTTCAGCATGTGATTTGATTATGTACGTTTGTCAGTATAGTTTGGAAGAAGATGAGAAATGCGTTTCAAATGTGCAATTCATCAACAACCAGCAGCATTGATGGTTGGTTGGTACTTGGTTTTTGATGGATGGATTCGTGTGATGCTAAGTGAAGCACCAAGGAGAGCGCGATGCTGAACATGGTGATCACGGTGTTCCACCTGCTCTTCTTCGTGTTCATCATCCTGGCCGGCCTGTGGAACGGCAGCGCGCGGAACCTGGTGTCGCCGCACGGCCTGGCGCCCTACGGCGTCCGCGGCGTCCTCGACGGCGCCGCCATCGTCTACTTCAGCTACATCGGCTACGACTCGGCGTCCACCATGGCCGAGGAAATCCGCGACCCCGCCCGCGCCCTCCCCGTCGGCATCGCCGGCTCAGTCCTCGTCGTCTCCGCGCTCTACTGCCTCATGTCCCTCGCCCTCTGCGCCATGCTTCCCTACACCGAGGTAGACACACATTGTCACTCACATTGACACATTACTAGCTCATCATCATTCTGATGGTGACATGGGGTGTACGTGTGTATGTGTGTAGATAGCGGAGAGCGCGCCGTTCTCGGCGGTGTTCAGGGAGAAGGCGGGGTGGGAGTGGGCGGGGAGCGTCGTCGGGGCCGGGGCGAGCCTGGGGATCGTGGCGTCGCTGCTGGTGGCGATGCTGGGGCAGGCGAGGTACCTGTGCGTCATCGCCAGAGCGCGGCTGGTGCCGGCGTGGCTGGCCAAGGTGCACCCTTCCACCGGCACTCCTATGAACGCCACCATCTTTCTAGGTACCTCAAAACACAGTACAAGGTTGTTGTTAACTTGTAGATTTGTAGTTAATCTATATATATAACGGATCGATTGATTTCAACTTTTGGAGTACGTACTGGTATTTATGTGTTCATAAGGTTGTATGTTTTTATTTTTAAGAAAAGTTTTGCAAGGTTTTGTAGAATTGTGGTTGAGTTGTTGTTTATCTCTTCTGGTTGAAAGAGGTTGAGAGGTTGTAGATAGAGTGATTAGTGTTAATACATCTGCAGTTTATGCCATTTCACAATTGGAGTTTAGAAGTGGAGGGTTAAAATTTGTGGAGATTGTGAGCTTGCTATAGATACTATCTTCTTTCTCTTTTACTTGCTGCCAACATTCAACGATTTTACCAGTTATATTTTTAATTTTGACATAAACCAGTTATATGTTTGAAACCCTAAATTAGTTAATGAAGATTGTATTCACAGTTTTTTTGGGAAAAAGATTGTATCGTTCGTTAGTTTTGCCACTAGAAATGCCTATATGATATTATAATGTTAAATGTACTGTGATAAGATTACGAGAACTATTGGTCAAAGTTATGTCTCGAAGGCCGTGAAATGTCAAAAATGTAAATAGAAAAGTTGAAGGCAGTACAGCTTTGCAAAGATCTGACAAATGAGGTAAACTAGTAGTGAACTGATGGGTTTATGTGATGTTAGACCCCCTGCAACCTACATAATAAACCTAATTTAGATAGAGCAAACGGAAGCATAAAATACACTAATAACTTCACCGAAGTCAAGGTCCTTACCACTGTATCAGATCATGAAAACTGCAATGCAGGTACCTTTTTTTAGATAATGTCATTGCAGGTTACAACTTATCATAATTCATAACTAGCAGCAATACTATTTCTGGCATTTCTTGAACTGCTCTTACAAATATCATCACCATTATCTATGCGCAGGATTGTGCACAGCATCAATCGCACTCTTCACAGAGCTGCAGGTAGTGTTCGAGATGATATCAATCGGAACACTCCTGGTCTTCTACCTGGTCGCCAACGCGCTCATCTACCACCGATACGCGAAGCTGGGTGCCAACCGATCTCTGCATGTCCTCCTCTTCCTGCTCATCCTTACACTGAGCTCCCTTGGCTTCTCCCTCTCGAGGAGGATCCATGGGCAATGCCGATGGGGAATGGCTTTGTTCGGCGCCACCTCCGTGACGATTACCGCCATGTTCCACTGCGCGGTACGGCGAGACATGCCAGAGCCACCATCAGAGTGGATGGTCCCTCTGATGCCATGGCCGGCGGCTGCATCCGTCTTCCTGAATGTGTTCCTGATGACCACTCTCAAGGTGATGTCATTTCAGAGGTTTGGCCTCTGGAGCTTTGTGATCATAGTCTTCTATGTCTGCTATGGGGTGCACTCCACATACTCTGCAGAAGAAAATGAGGCTGTCAATGCTATGATTCATCATGCCAATATGGACATATCTTAGCAATAGCAGCACATAATACATTGATCTAGGAGTTACTTTGGAGCTAACTAGCTTGGCAATTAGGCTGTCTCCAGAATGGTCCCGAATCTAAAGAGGATGGAGGGCAAAAGAGAAGCTGCTTTTGCATTAGGTTAGACTCTTCTTTTCCTGCTTTTGTGCTTGCAAATTGGCTTGTAACTTTTTTTTTTCTCAAAGTGTACATGCAGGACTGTGAATGGCATGTTTTCCTTTTGATCAAAGACCAGAAATTTTGTCTACTTTAAACATAGAAGGTGACCATTTCCGTAGAAAGTACCAAGTGACAGCAGAAGAGTAATTTTTAACAGCTAGATTTAAGTATCTGTTTTTCCGTTCTTTTAGAAGTACTGATTAAATTTACAGGTGCAACAGGAAATGCCAGTGCAAAAGAAGACAATCAAATGCTGGTTTACTGGCTTCCATGTCCAAAGCAATGCACAAAATGCAACCTCGATAGTTATATTTTTTGTAAGTGTAGCCATGAAAAGCAACATAACGAATCTGGAGAACATACTGATTTCGTTATAACTGAAAGTAGTTGAATGTATCACATGAATATACCAGATATAAATTTCACAATATAGGCAAAAAGAAAACCCTGCAGATGGCAGATACACCTTCAGTATAAAAGCTAATGTTTTGATATATTTGAAACAGAGAACCAAAAAGTGCTATTTTCCTGAGCATTCAAGAACATTGCACTCAGATGTATCAACCATTAAAAATACTCCAAGTCTGGACCAATACAGAAAGATCCTTAAATTTACCTTCCTGTGCCCAGAATATCGTACCAACACGGTTCAAGAGAACACACCGAAGTCCTATAAACAACATAACAGAAATGTTCTTATCAAATAACTAATATTTGCATATGCAATAAAAAGATACAGCTGAATTATTTCAAAAGATGGCTCTAGTTCTTTGAAAGCCATGGGAATTTTCAAGGAATATTCCACACAAAGCAACTCTCACCAGTCGCAACTCTACCTTCGAAATGATTTCTGATAAATGTAACTGCTTATTATACATAACCTTATCAAGAATTCAAGGACCACACATGGTGGAACACGGAAGTAAAGCCGAGCATCATGGAGAAATTTCGCGCTTTCAAAATCAACATGCTACATTGAGTCAATGAGCATACCTGAATTTTCATTTGCTGATGCTCATCTCAAGTGGTTGCCCATTGATGAGCATGCCAGTTAGCTAAAGGGTAAGCAAAAACATGTTAAAGGACCACTCACTTTGATTGTGGTCCAACATCCTACTTAAGTGGCACTTGCCTTCATCTGCAGAAAATTGGCTGACACATAAAGGGAACACTAGATTTCACTGTTATATTATACTCAAAAAAGTTTCAAGGAGTCATGTGGAGTTCTCATTGGATAGGAAGATTCTAGGCAATAACGAGGTAACTATAGCATATTGATCAACAATATCCTGATGTTTTTCACCTAAAGCAACTAAACTTCCAGCTCAGCTGAGAGCATGAGACTTGGCATGACACAAACAGATAAATCGATAAATTAGAATATCAAGCAAAGGGAATATGTCAGTTGTAAAAGGATGGTGGGCGTATTTCAGTAATTTACTCACAGATGCCTCTAAAATCTGTGTCACAAGCGTGGCTCGATTTTTATCAAAAAGACAAAAACACAGACAAAATAGATACAATTACCATCAATGATCTGAAAACCCTGTGGCAAAATAAAAGTTCTAATCAAGCGTAGAATTGTCTCAAGTTGGTTCAGTCAAGAAAATAATGGTTGCAGGCAGTGTTCAAATTTTAAAAAAGAGAACAACTTATGAGCACCGCAATATTTTCAAAAAGAAGAGCACCACAGAATCTCACTGAAGCAATCTATGTATTAATGTATATAAGCAAGTTTAAACAATTTCAAGTGGGAAGAGAATAAATTTACCTTTAATGGCAAGAAGTAAGACGGCCAACAATTTCTGAGTAGAACATGCCCTAAAGAAAGGCCTCATGGTATCTTGATATGAAAAACAGTATGCTCAACATTACAGTTGTTCTACAAAAAAGAGAATTTTCTGTTTTCTCTGTTTTCTGTTTTGCAATAGATCAACTTGATTATCAAAAAAGCAAAATTTGATTATCAAAAACAGTATGCTCAAAATTTGATTGCAGTATGTTTTTCTTTGTTTCCTGGTATCTATTGCTTTTGATCACTCTGTAGTCAAATTTTGCATGGAATTTTCTGGAGGCATTCAACATAGGTGCTATTTATTATTTTCTAATGTATGAATTTATTTAGTGCACACTATCAGGAAACAAAGAAAAACATTATATGTAATTTGAACATCACTACTGCTTTTTCCTTCCGCAACTGCTTGAAATAACCACTTAGAGAGTTATAGAATGAAGACATACAACAAATGACACAACAGAACAATGTGTACAACTGTGCCATGTAATGGTCAACTGGCTACTGGATATTCAGATCTATCCAACAAAATGACATCCAGAACAAAGATTATGCTCTGCTTAACTATAAATATGAGACCACGACATGAGAACTTGCTTGGGCTAAAAAAATTTAGATTGTAGTTCTGCCTCTCGGTTTACAAAGTTAGTATCAGCCCCAACCCAGTAAGGATGGACGAATTAGCAAATGAATTCTAAATCCAAGTCGCTGGAAAAATTTTCTGCTATGAAAAGCGAAATCTGGTACAATCAGGATACCCCCAAAGCTCAACAACATCAATATTTCCAGTGAATTCCTTTTTCTTCCGCTTACATAATCTGCTGTTAGGGCATGTAAGTTTTTATCTTGACCATTCATTCATCTCACCTCATTTTATCTCAACCCTCTATTCATTTCCATTTCCCAATCCCACCCCTCATAACCCTTAACCCATTATCCAAACACCTCCTTAGGGCTTCAATTGACTACTTGGGCAGTTGTCACAAAGGTATCAACCATGTCGACAAGCTGCAAAAGAACAGGAATAACTGATTTTTGGCGGTCAGAAACTGCAAGTCTGGGGGGAGATGCAGTTAAATTCTACTATATTCTAGAGTTCAGATATCTTCAAATTAGGTTGCCACACACAATTGAACAAATTAAAGCTTGAGACAAAACAATAAACACAGAACAGGCTAAGTTATTATTTTCCATACGCCATACAAGATAGATAGAAAGGTTACTACGATTTCCAAGCTACGCCTACATCAGACATCCATCACAGTACATATGAACAACTCTAATTAACTCCTAAACTCGCAAGCCAAGCCAGTGGGCAATCAGGACAAGCAAGAAAACCTTGACAGGAGACACCTTTGCGCCACCGAGATTTACTCTAGGGAGTCAATGATGCGGTCGACGAGCGCTTCCATGAGCCTCCGCTGCGAATCGAGGTGCCGGAGTGCCATCTCCATGCGCATCTGCTGCGTCTTCCTCGCCGCCTCCATCCGCCTCTGCTCCGCCCGCAGGAAACCCTCCCCGATCGCCCTCAGCGCCTTCACCACGTCGCTCTCCCCGTCATCCTCCGCATCGGCATCGGCATCGCCATCAGGCAGCCTCCTCTTCTTGGGAGGCGGGGAGGAGGGAGCGGGAGGAAGAGGCGGCGGCGAGGCTGGCGGCGGCGGGGAGGGGGATTGCGACGGGGACGCGGAAGGGGAAGGCCCGTCGAGGAGATCGATCGCGTCGAGGAGCGGGCAGGGGCGGCGGCGCTTAGATCGGAGGCGGCGGCGGAGCTTCTCGACCTTGTGGCGGCACTGGCGCGCGGTCTTGGTCGGGGTGGCCGCGTCGGCGACGGCCGCCCAGTCGGCGGAGGTCAGGTGCGCCCGTCCCACCGCGAGGCGTCGCGCGGTGTAGGCGCGGGCGAGCGCGAGGGTCTCGTCGGGGGTCCAGCACGGCGGCGGCACGCGGCGGGCGGCGGCCGCGGCGTTGGTGGGGGAAGAAGAAGCCATCGCAACGGTGGTGAGGAGGAGGCGGAGGCGGAGGCGGAGGCGGTGGTGGTGGTGTGGGGCGGAGGTTGGGGGAAGGGACGGTGAGGGGGGATTATAACGGAGGAGTCTTTTTAGGGCGGCGACAGGTGGCGGTGGGCGCACGCGGGCGGCGGTGGGCGGCGTCGGCGGCGGCGCCAACCGCGGGTTGTGGGGGTTGACATCTTGACCCGACACCCCCGCGCGGCGCAGCCGCGCTCGGCGTTAAAGTTTCGTGTCCGTTTTCTTCTTTTCTAGCTTTCGTGTTTCGACTTTTTGCGTGGCTAAAAGAAGTGTTTTTTTGTTGAGCCCACAGGTTACTCTAGCCGTCAGATCGAATAGGATAATTCGATTTGTATCAAATCTTACCATTTCCATTCTAGAATATATAGATTTTAAAGTTAAATACGGTTATTATGAAAACCGATAAAATTAAGTGGTGAAAAATTATAATAATTTAGTAGAAAAGATATATGAAAAAATTAAATAATAAAGAATTATAATTGGTTGAGAAGAAAATATTTGTGTAGAAGATATTATATTTAAGATAAATTATAAAAAGGCTAAAAATTATTATATTTTAGGATGGATATAGTGTTTTTTTTAAGAAAAATGGTACAATTTGTTACTGTTTGGCCGTAGTTTTGTGTTCCGCCGTGACGCCCGTGGGGGTGCCGTTTGCCGGGAGCGGCGGCATGCGGTGCGACTTGGTGTAACGCCGTGCGCGAAGGGGGTAGCGGTAGCGTGCGGGAGCGGCAAGGTGGCGCGCGGTGCGGCGGCGGCGGCGCGCGGCGGTGGGGCCCCGTGTGTGCGTGTGACCGCGTGGTTTCGCCGACGCGGCCGTGATGTGAGACCCCCACATGGCGATGACGCCGCGAGCGGCGCGGCGCGACCCACCGCTCGCGTTCTCGTGGGCGACGCGGCCGGGTCGGAGGATGGAGCGGCCGAGACGTCACCTCACCGTGCGGCGCGTGCGGTGGGACGGCCGCACCGACGGGGCCCGAGTCGCGGTCACGCGGGGTCGCGTGCCGTGCGCGGCAGCCGGGGCGCGGCGCCCGCGGGTTCCGCCGTGGATGGCGTGTAGGCGCAGCTCGAGTGAAACCGTGCAACGGCGGGCGGCGTGTTGACGCGGCCGCCTCGATCAGGATCGGGATCGGGGCAGAGTCGAGAGACCCACGCCATCACGGCGTTGCCGCCCACGTCGTCGACGTGCCTTGGGGTAGGGTGTGGCTGGTGCGGGCCGCGGGCGTGGAGCTCCGCCCACTTGCCCATCAGTAGCAGTAGGATGACGGATGACAACAACACGAAAAATTACAGGTGATGCCAGGGTGGCAGGGTTAACAGAACCAGCCAACCATGTCACCTGTCACCGGGGACAAACAACAAGCTATCATCGGTAGGATGACGGATGACAACCCGAAAAATCAGAGAAGATACCAGGATTAACACAGAACCAGTCACCCAGGTCTTCGGGACAAACTACCTAGTAGTGTCCTACCATCAGCCCCGTTTTTGGCCAGGAGCTGATTATATGCTAAACAACTTTATTTATGTTTGTACGTCCTTGAAGATTTAAAAGCTAATGCTAAAAAACCTATGTTAAAAACTTGTAAAATTAACTCTAAAATTATTTTTTAAAATTTAAATTTTGGCATAAGCTAATTTTATATAGGATGAAAAATTGAACTAGTAATACTTTCAACGAAAGCTAGGTAGCTAATTGTTAAACTCTAAACGAGAGCTAGGTAGCTAATTTGTGGAATTCTAAGGTCATTCATAATGCAAGCTAATCCTACAAGTGTCTTGAGAGGTGAGAGAATATATTCTCAAATTATGTGGATATGCGCCAATGTGTTGACTCCGTCCGCGCCCCTGCTGAGCCGCTCGCCCCTTATCTGGGAGGCGCGCTCTTCGACCGCCTCGAGTGCGCGTGCCGCAAGGAACTTGAACCGCACATGCGCTGTGAAGGTTGTGGCTCTGAGTCACCGCCGCTTCGGAGATGGAATCCCCAAAATCACCTTCCCGCCCCACTGATTCGTGCCTCTCACGCTCGGATTTGGTTGCTCCCACCCTTGCATTCTCGTCCCCATGTTGCATGTAGAGCTAGATATGTTGGTGTTGCACGAGGAGCTCGGGCCGTCCCATCAGGAGAAGCTACAACAGGCGAAAATGGCGCTGGAGATGGATGTTTTCCCACCTTCCTTCCTCCTCCTCACCTTAGCCAAATTCGAGCTTCTAGCCCAGGGCCAACAATCTCCAATCCACTTCGGAGCCTCATCGTTGAGCCTCGACCGTGCGATGGCAGCGCTGACAGATGGAGGCGAAGCGATGTGAGGGAGAAGAGACGAAGCAACCGGAGGGAGAAGAAACAGACACGAGGGGTACAACCGTACAATGGAATTATTTGTTGATGACACTTGGGCTGGGGATACAATGGTGTTTAAATCTTCTGAAGATAAAGATGAAGATTAAGTGTTTCACGTAGAACGAGGTGGTAATAACGTGTGATTAATTAAGTTTTAATTATTACAAACTTGAAAAATGGATTAATCTGATATTTTAAAACAACTTTCGTATAGAAAGTTTTCGCACGAAAATGCACCGTTTAGCAGTTTGAAAAAAGTGCCACTTTAATCCAAAATTTAATCCACTATTTTAAGTAGATTCGAACGGGCCACAGAAGACCACTCAGCACTGTGGCCCGTGTAGCCCAAGAGTGTTTCCTCAACTTAGGTTGGGTCCATTTTAGTTTGGTTTGTTGAGCCTGGATACGTGCGTATCAAAGTTAATTTTCTTTTTTCATTCCGATTCTCTATAGCACAGTGTGACCGGCGGTTTAAGTGGTCCTTTAGGCCCATGTTGCAGTTGCTCCAACACGGCTCACACGAGCCCTTTCCCACGCTCGAGTGGCCTTGCCACGGCCGGGCCACCCGTGCCCTCAACAAGAGTAGCCTCGTGAGGGTACGCCCGTGGCTGATAATCTGATATGTAGTAGAATCTCCGATCTAGCAACCCTCAAACCACACGCCGCGCTATGAGTGTAGGACATCGCAGCGACACACGAACACAGCTGCTCTAGAGGGGAATCTCCGAGATGGCAACCCGAAACTATACGCCACATTGTGAATGGCCTAAGGCCTTAAAGTCGTAAGATGCATTCCTATATAGACCTTCAAATGATTTAATGCATTCTAACGCAGTAACATCCCCATGGGGGCTGAAGCATCATCAGTACAAATTCACATTGGCCGTAGCTGAGCCTCAGGACATTCAAGTAATCAACCCCCTTCGACAAGGCTGTGGCGACGCAAACTACGTTCCCGATGAAACTGTGAATATAGCCTATACCACAAGTCCGCGATAGCAAGCAAAAGATATACGGAGCACATCATCACAGCCAGACACAAACAGGCCCAATCAAGTATAGTTTTTCATGCAATCTCAACGCAACCATTTCATACCTGTACATGAAATCCGTTCCCTTGCTTACAATGCTCATTACAAATCTGAAAAGTAGAAAAAAGAAGGGAGAAAAAAGGAACTCTGATCTGCGTTTAGTATACCTCTCATGAAGCAGTTCCTTCCAGGTTATGGACGAAATAGTAGTGCAGCAACAAGCAGCATCTTGTATAACAACTGCACTATCTACTAGTATAAGGTCAAAGCACATCTTCTAAAACAACCAAGCCAGTGCTCCGCTACAGTATCAAATCGATCTCACACCACATGAGAAAAAATAAAGTACTCCAGTACTTGGCCAAGCAAACAGCAGAAAAATAGGCGGATAAAATGAATTTATTAGACATGATTTAACTGAGATAAACATCAACAAGAGATACACTATAGCATTCAGAACTAATAAAATATATGTGCCAGTTGATTCTACTGAAACTATTCAGATGTCAAAATTAGAAGATACCATCACCAAAAAAGTAGTACTGAACTAAATGAATGCAATGAAACTTTGTGACCATAAGGTATAAAAGATGCATTGTATTAAATATTAATAATTCAATAGATATGTAGTAGATTAATATGTGTATTTGTTCTTTTCTACTTCAAATCAGTATAGTTTTGTAGCTAAAGCAGCTGAAATAATCAACTAAACTGTATGGTTAAGTTTTCTGTTCACCAATTCGAGGCCCTCAAACAAATCGTTTATGTTGCTTTGCATTTGCTACTTGAACAAAAATGCTTCCATAGTCTATCTTGTAAAATTATGATCATGCTGTTTTCTGGCTATCTTCATTCCACTAAATTCAACCAACTGTCCCTTCCTTCCCCTCCTCCCCTTCTATTTTAGACAGGCACCTAATTATCCAACAACATGGTGCTGATTCCCTCAGATTTCAATCCAATATCCGAATTCACCGATACCTTCTCTCTGTGCTGGATAGTGCAATCTTCCATCCATAAATGATAAACTAATGCAGTTCACCAAGATCTGAAATAATTGTGGGTTGCCCTTATGGGATCCTACTCCAACAAACACACTAAACAGGAAGTGATAGAAATATTAAAACATTTCTAGTTACTGCAAGGGCTGGCAAATGTAGTACACACATAAAAATTTGAAGTGTAAAAATGCAAACTTTGATCTCAGGATCCAATAATGGTTATTATCACTTATATGATGAATCGAGTAAATTTCAGACAATGCAGTCACTTACTGTATTAACTCCTTCCTATACCTCAGAGAATGGTTGTATTAACACTAACAAGTTTGCTAGGTTTGTTGCAGCTCTCTGTATACTGTGTAATTCGTATTTGGTAGTATTAACCATCAATTTCACCAATTCACTAGAACACACATTGCATCCGCTACTGCCTATAGCTATCAACAGAGAACTTGTTCCCTAATGCGTTAATATCTTGGTAAAATTGTCTATTTACAAAAAATTGTTACAAAATAAATTTGGTTGTAAGAAATTTGGCCCAAATATATCTCCATCTAATGGGATAAAGGGCCCAAATATACCATAACTATCATGTTATCATGATGGTAAATCAAACATAGGTGTCATAGCAAAACCATATTTATTTTTTTCTGAAACTTATTTAGTCAGTGCATCATGCTTCATGCTTCCTGCAAATTTCTTCAAAGTTTGCAATTGTCCAATTACCACTTCTTTCCCAAAGATATATTATCCATGCTCCATGCAGCACTTGACAGAAATTACAGAAACGAGTAGCAAGTGAAATGTTGTGCTCAATGATGGCATTGCTTGTTAGATATACCTGGGTGCCCTGAATTCTATGCTGCTGCTAATCAACAGCGGCAATCCAAGACCATAATCATAGTTCTGTAACTGCAGGTTCTGTTATCTTAAACTTATTATGGCAAGGCCTAGGTAATCGCTTGGTGAAAGAACTACTTTGAGCCATATAAATGGTTTCTCCCAATTTCAGCAACCAACAAATCCAATTTTTCAGCAGTTACCAAATAACTAGTCCAGAGTTTCAGTCTGACCAATCATCTTTTGGCACAGCAAATTACCAAACCACTAGAGAGCAGATGCCAAATGTTTCAGAAGTAACAGCCTTACACAAAGCGCCCCCTTCTAAGGCTTCATTTGTAAGTCTGATCTTCAGCCAGCACATCACAAGAGATCTTCAAGGCACCATGTATTTCAGGGAACTACCTCATAATACTATTTTACTGAAACACTCCATATCTCTCAAAAATGTTTAGAAACACTGGAAGTAAACATGCCAAGATACCATAGCTGGCGATTATGTTCACAATTCTTGACCAAATAAAGCAAAGCCTTACATTAAAGAAACTAGCCAGAACATCCACAAGACTATTGCTTTAACCAACTTGGTGTTTCTGACTTCTTTGATCATGTCTAATTCAGGAGCACCACACACAATTGCCACTTCTTGTCCAGGTCCGTAGGCCTTAAATTAAGGAGCTCCATACAATCCGGGGCCTACACCAACCTCCTACGGTGCCATGTGTGTTCCATAGACGATATGATGCAAAATCTGTACCATCAAAACAATTCATGGTTGATCACGGAGGGTGTTCCTTGTTTGATAGAAGGGGAAGCATTTGCCTTCTCTGAAGTGAGCAGTTAAGACGATGATGGCAGCGATGGTGGTGGTGGTGGTGTGAGACATCAATGAAAACTTTTATGCAGGACAATTTTAAACTCAAGGAGAAACAGAGCAGATTCAGATTGAACACGCACCTCAGTAATATGAACTAGAACCACTACCGCCATAGTAGCCACTGCTGCTACCTACATTACGCCCTGAGTAAAGTGATGAATATGAACTTCCACCAACCTGCACAAAGAGAAATATGAATAAATTGGGGAAACCAACATGATAGAAAGCTTGGGCCAACAAAAATTGATATAGATAATGAGCTGGAGATAACATTTTGATGAAGACTCACATCAGACCCACGAGACATGTAGCTACCACTGAAATTTGATGAGTACATTCCACCAGCATCATTACTGCTTGCGGAACCTGAAAAGGTGAAACACCAAATGGTGTGAGAATAGATATCTAATATATATTGAGCACGTGAGCACAGGTACCCTAACACAACAGAGCGTTCAAGAGCATATACCTCCATAACTCATGCCATGCCGACCACTACTGTACACTGGATCATGACCAGAGACAGATCTGCCACCACTGTATCCCGCATGTGATCGTCCAAGCCTTCAAAAACAAGCAATGTACAGGTAAGATATTAAAATATATATATATATAAGCAAAGAGAAGGAACATTTCAAAATGTACACCAACCTCTCGCTATATGTATCTGCATACCGGGCACTGCTGCCACCAACATCATAGTCTAAGCGTGCCTTAGACTGACGAACACTAATGTCATGATATCGAGGTGGCACATCATCCTGACATAACAATAGCAATGTCTTAGTTGGCTGAGGAATATGAGGAGAAAGCATGAAACACAAGAGAACAATAATTAACTGCCCTCACCATCTCAGCATATGAGCGTTTTGAACCAGACATTGTATCATAATCACGACCACGGCCCTCCCTATATGTTGGTAAAGGACGGTCAATCTTCCCTCCATAACCATCATCAATATATGCTCGCCTATCAGAAAGGCGGGGAGCACTACGAGGACCTAGGTCCGAATAGGCTGACCCCCGGGGTGAATAATCATCCCTATAGGGGCGTCTATCCACTGGAACTCTTGAACTATAGTCACCAAAGGTAGCTCTGCTTCTTGGCGGAGGAAGTTCATCACGCCTTCCATATTCTCTCCTTGGGCTTCTCTTTGGGTACACAGGAGCTGTAAACAGATGAAGTATGAAAAAGTGACCTACAGTGGTTTGCACAGCAAAAGAAGAGAGAGAGAGAATAGATTGCACATAACATCTGCACACCTGGGGGCCTTCTGTCATATGATCTCTCGGGTGGAGGCAAACGCCTAACTCTATCTGGTATTGACATAACAGGGCGCCTATCTCTAATATCTACTGGCCTCTTCAGTGGGCGGCTCCTGACCGGTGGTGGTAAGCGACTAACATCGGGTCTTAAAAGACGAGGTGGAGGCCGGCGAAGTGGAGGAGGACGATCATATGCAAAACGTCCACCTCGAGGAGCACCCTGCCCAACCCTAAAATTTCCTCTTAATCCATGCTTCATTCTAGGAGGTCTCTGCAATGGTCTCGACAATCTGGCTCTCACTTTTGCCTGAACCATCAAGTAGCAAGGTGTTGTGTAATATTAGTTCATGTCCAACAGAATGAGTAGACAGTAAAAAAGACCCATCAAACTCAGTTGGGGAAACAGACCTTGCTGTCACCTTCACCAATCTCAGAATTAGTTATCCCATCAGCACATGCAACAGCATTATCATGTGTATCAAAAGTAACAAACCCAAAATCCTTTCTCTTGGCTGCTGGCATATTTCGGGCTAGTTCAACTTTCTCAATAGCTCCATATTTTTTAAGGTACTTCTTGACACGATCTTCATCCCATGAGGGAGGAAGGCCATCAATAAATACAGTTCTAACCTGAACCAAAGAACCAGAATAAGGATTCAACAGATTTAATCAAATTTGCAACATCAACAAACAAAAGCACCAAAATAAGTGGTTACCTGTGCCATTATTTCATCGTCAACTTCGGGGTAGGAATCAGCAAAGGAAACCTTTGCACTACGATCAACTCCAAAAACTACATCCCTCTTCTGCAATCGCCTAAAAGCATCCATTGCTTCAGGGCGAGTAGAAAACTCAAGTAAAGCATACCCACGATTCATTCCTGGATTATTGCTGTCCTCAACTAATAGTAGATCATCAAAATTCTCAACACCGTAACTCTTGAGTTTCTCCTTCAGCTGTACATGCCCAAATAAGTTATTATTCAGGTAACAACAGAATAGGAAAAAAGAAAAACTGTTTCAGCATCTTACATGTTCTTTAGTCCATGTCTTGCAGATATTGCCCACAAAAAGAGTATCGTTGTCATGACTAGGAGCAACACCACATTGTTTGCCTCTCACCTACAGCATTTAATGAATTATGAGATTATTACTTATAATAATAACACACCATAATATAAAATATCCATATCTTTAGACCAACCGAAGGATTCTTTAGCTCTGACACCGCCCGCCTTGCTTGTTCTACAGTCGCATATCGCAGAAAGGCAAAGCCTTTATTTTTCTTTGTAACAGGGTTCATCATCAAACGAACTTCAGTGATCTCGCCAACTTCACCAAAAACCTTCCTAAGATCGCTTTCTGTTGCATCTTTATCAAGCCCACCAACAAAAACTTCAAACTCCTTCCGCTTGCGATGCTCTTTCACCATTTCATGATGCTCTTCATCCTCCACATCCACATTATGCTCTTCTTCGGCATTTTCATATCCTTCACCCTCCCCATCGTCCCCACCATCCAATTCCTCGTCTACCATATCCGTCTCCTCTTCAATCACATCTTCAGTATATTCCACCACTTCATCACCATCCTCGTATTGCTCTTCATATTGCTCCAAGTCCTTCTCATCGTAGTCCACAGCAGCCTCCTCTTCATATTCTGGTTCATCTTCAAATTCCAATCGTTCACCTTTATCCTCTTCATATGTTTCTTTTGTAGTTCCCTCATCTAAAAATGAAATAAGTACAACCTTACTACATGGGCAACTGCTATCCAATAAAAATATAGCCAAAAAAACAGCCATGAGTATAAAGTATAAACATACGATCTTTTATGTTTTGCCATAAACATATGATCTTCAATGTTTTATTAAGAGTGGTTCTCACTATGTTTTGCTTGCATAAAACTAGGAAAGATCAATGTTGCTGTTTGTTGAAGGGCAATGCCATGTACTCAGACTGAATCAAAGACCAACCGTTGGAACAGTACTAAATGATCTCATAGATCTAATATTCCAACTGCAAACCATGCGACCATAAGCAATGCTAACCAGGATTAAATGGAAAACAGTCAATATAACAAGACATCCATGACATGCTACTTCGGACGTTCATTGCACCCCACATAAAAATACACTAATGCAGCAATCATCTTAATATACCAAAAAACTGACATAGTACAACCCAACATAAACGATCTATACCAAAAAAAAAAAAGAAAGAAGAAGAAGAAGCAAGCAATACCTTCACCGTGGCTCGCGCCGTTCGCTGCAGCGTCGGACGAGGCCTTCTCCTCCGCGGCCGGCTGCTGCAGTGGCGGTGACGGCTGGCGCTTCTGCTCCTCCACCTTCGGGGCCTCCTCCGCAGCCTTAACCTCCTCGGCGGGCACCTCCTCCACGGCCGCCTGCGCCTTCACCAGCCTGCCCCTCGTCCCTGGCCCCTTCCTCCCCGCCGCCGCGGCGCCCCTCCTAGCCTTCGGCGGCATCTCCCCCCACTCTCACAAACAAAACCAAAAAAAAAAGGAAAACCACCTGCAGATCACCAAACAAAGACGACGGATTTAGATGGACCAAGGATCGAATCGAGGAGGGAAGGCGAGGCTATAGAATCCATGGGCGTACGCACCTCGCGTCGTCGAGGATCGAGGGGGCGAGGAATCGAAACCCTAGGAGAGGGCCGGAGAGCCGAAACGAGATTGCGGTGGGAGGCAACACGGAAAGGAACGGAACCCTTTGGCCTAGGTAATCTCCGGGTCGAGGCGTATATCCTGCGATGACGCTGGGCGTTCGGGCGTATTTACGCTATTGCCATCAAGACTTGTCTCACGCGTTGACCGGTCTCCTGCGAGGCAGAGGGCGTTTTGGTCTTTTCGTGAACTGTATTTTGTTTTTGCCCTGTAAATTGAAGTCGGTGTCGATGAAATTATGGATGTGGGACCGGAGACTCGGCAGTTGAGTCTTTCTTTGGAGAAAATAATATGGAACACGAACAATATAATACTCAAGATTAATGGTACTAGCAAAATACTGCACTTGCATTGCAATGAATAAAAACGAAGTTTAATGGTATATTACCCTCCCTTCCTCCTTTGTAAGCTACCTTACTCCTCGGCCTCTTCTAATTCAATACTGGAACTTTGATCCTTGAAGCCTAGACTCAACAGGCGGGAGAGCTCTCTAGTTTCCCCTAATCAAGCTATTGTAATCCCTTCTTTTGTTCGGCCCCTCTTCCTCCTCTTCTCCCGTTCTTCGGCGACAGCGGAGGGAGGCCGGAGGGAGGAAGAGGGGTCTAGTCCCTCCTCCCTATTAGTATGTATAGACCTCGGGGAAGGTGAGCCGAGGGGAATGGCGGCTTCAGGGTCCCATCCCGTCGGCACTCCCGCTTCCTCCCCTTGCCAATTCAATCCTGATGGCGTCGTCTCCTCGTCTCTTCTCCCTAATCCGCTAGAGTGAGGAAGGGCGTCGCAAGGGCACCGGCAGCTGCCAGGCCAATCGCGCCAGGGCGGCGGTAGCTACAGGCTACGGCGAGGCTGAGGCCTCCAGCAACATGCGGCAAGGCAACTGGAACTCTGGAAGCAGACAAATTTAGTCCTATTTGGGGGAGCTTGTCCCAGCTGCAGCTTTTCCCAAAAGCTGCTTCTGCTAGAAGCTGCCCCAAATAGTCCACAGCTTCTGAGAATCTGTAGTTACAGATTCTGAAAAATGAACTAAGAAGCCAGAAGCTGGAGAAGCTGGGTTTCAGAGCTTTTCCAGATTCTCAGAAGCTGGCTACCAAACAGCTGTTTCTCAGAATCTAAAGCTCCCCAAACAGGCCCAAAGCTTCTCACTGGAGAAGGCAGTATAAATCCACGTATTCAGAGGCCTGATGCAAAAAAAAAAACTAGTAGTCTTGCAAACCAGAGCTTTGTTTGCAAACCAATTGCATCAAATATGCGCTGAATCATAATTACTTACAAAAGGGCTTACGAAAGAGCCTTTTCAAGAACAATACTCCAATAATCATCTAAAGAAGGAACAGGGAGCTTGAAGATCAGCCGTCCTCAAAAAGTTCTGAATACATGTCTGATGTAAATTCCTAACAAATCCTATGTTCCACAAACAAGATCTGAATAAGCATTGTGTACTACCTGAATACTACACTAAAGAAAATTTAGAGTTCCACACTTCCACTTCAGGTGAGTTTCAGAAGGTTCAGAGTTCCAGAAACAGACTTTGGCACTTCTAAAATACTGAAGACTCACTTCATGCGAGCTACTAGGGCTGTGTTTAGTTCACACTGAAGTTTGGAAGTTTGGTTAAAATTGGTACGATGTGATAGAAAAGTTGTGTGTATAAAAAGTTTGATGTGATGAAAAGTTGGAAGTTTGGAAAAAAAAAACTTTGGAACTAAACAAGGCTTAGAATAACAAACCACTCTGCATGCTATGGACATGGCATGACTGACAAAGTGTGGAGCTTAATTTGGATCCGTACTCACTGGTGCTGTGTGGAGTTGGGGCGAACACGATGACCAGGAGCAAAGGGGGCGGAGATGGCTGAAAGAGGAAGGCAACGGTGCCCTGCAGCGGGGAGGGTGGAGATGGCTAGCAGAAGAAGCGGGGAGGCTGTCTTTGTGAAGCAACGACGCCCTGGATCGATGGCCGGCAGTCCCGGCGGCGCACTGGACGGATGGAGGTGGCGCCTTGGATCGAAGGCCGCAACGATGGACGGACGCCCGATGGCACCCTGGAGGAAAGGCGAGGCCGCGCCGTCCGCGGACGTCACCGGTGCCCAGAGCAAATTAAGACGAGGATGCAGAGCGAAGGGTTACCACACGTGTTATTCCGATCGTATCCTTTGCAAACGGATGGATAGACAAAGTTGGTACCTCTTAGTACCTGGTACCTCGTGGTACCTCAAGAATGGTAAAAAATTCTCTTCCACGTGAGAATAGATCCGCTAGAAAACCATAATAGAAAAAAAAATGATTTTTTATAAAACCATTCATTCGTTTTACTCTATATCCCCTTGCAAGTGCAACACATGGAACATACATAGTACTAGTAAAGTATATAACCCGTGCCAATGCACGTGTTATTGACTATAGTATTTGGAGTCTGAAGAAATACTCTACTAGATTAGCTTAGGACGTGTACAAAGGTAGAGTCAGATATGAACTCTACATTACCTAGAGACTAGCATCTTACAACAGTTAGAGACAACATAGTCTCTAATCATTAATGTATCAAAATACTTTTTCTTACTTTTTTTTCCTTTCTTTCACCGCCATACAACAAAAATTGCTCTTATAAATGCTAAGAGTCGACTATAAGCCGCTGTCATGCATAACAACCATACTCGTTTATCTTTCTTCGATATATTAAATTTATTTGCATGGCAATAGAGAGACCATTAATAAATACCGTTGTATATGCCCTTACCTGCGGCAGGAATCTGTTTTGCTGTGATAATTTGGGACATCATTTATCCTGTCCTCCGCTCATAAGGCGCCGGTTTTTGGACCGAACGACAAGATAGTCAGCCATGCAGGTCAAGATGGACACAGAGTGAAGCAAAAAGTCAGGACATAGATAGCTCACCGAGCAGGCCAACAACGACGTATCCGGGTCAATACGTTGAAGTACATCACTGTTCGGCAGTCAATAATTCTTGTCAACCGGGTGCAGATTTCCAAGAATGAAAAAAGAGAACGAGAGATGACTAGATGAGCACAAAGAGGAAGAAAAAAAAGGATGTTATTAGCAACATCAATGTAGTGTGCCGTGTGGGATCATCTAGTCATCCTCTCGTGGTTCAGGCAGCGGTCGAGGGAGAGGAGGCGGTGGTTGGGACTTGGGAGAAAGCCAGAGATGTGGCTGCGGATATCTTTCCGCATCCTGTAGTGTTGATGATCCAATGGACGCCGTAATGTTTGAAGTTTGAACATTTCAAACACCCATGATGCTTGCAGAATGCAGATTAGCAGGAAACCGTGTGTGCGTTCTGCTTGCTTCGAGCAAAAGCAAGAAGGATAAAGAGGTTGGCAGGGGAGGTGACTGAGAACTGACTGGTTGAGCACTTTGATTCTTCGGAGCCGGTCAGCCGGATCACGGTAGGCAGTACACAGTTCATGGTCCATGACTGTTGTATCAAACGATTCGGCCATTTGGAGGCATGTCTCCTCTTGAGCATCTGCTGCCATTGAGTTTCTTGTGATCGGCAGCTGTCTACTGTTGGATTTCTCTTCCATCTGGCAGAAATCTGGCTTTGCTGGATTTTTCTTCTCTGATCGATTGGTTCTTCCTTCCACTGTGTTCTCTTTGCTCTTGGCCTTCTCCTGGTTGGATTTTAATCACGTAGAAGTACAGACAAGTCATTGTCGAGCAACAGAAGAAATAGAAAATGTCTCTGTTTTAATCACCAATGCGTGATCTTTTTCTCTGCAACCTCTGAGTTCTTGAAGTACCTGAAATTGTGGTAGCAGCCGGGCTTCTTCCTCCAAGAAATGGGCTGCATGTGCCTCTTCCAGGACAAGCGCAGGAGCAAGAGACGGCCGGAGGTGGCGGCGCCGGCGCCGGCACCGGCTCCGCCCTCCCCGAGTGCCGCTGCCGCCGTTTCCACCGATGCGTGCTCGAACGTGTCCGTGCCAGCCGCCGCGCCGAGCACGTGCACGTCGTCGTGGGCGAGCACGAGGCCGTCGGCGAGCTCCTCGGCGGTGAGCACCCCGGAGCCGTACGAGGCGAGGCAGGGCGCCCCCCGCGAGCTCGCTCTCCGCGAGCTCCGCGGCGCCACGGGCGACTTCAGCCCGCTGCTCATGGTCGGCCGGGGCGGCTTCGGGTGCGTCTACCGCGGCGTCCTCCGCCTCCCCGGCGAGCCGCCCCACGGCACCCCCGTCGCCGTCAAGAGGCTCAACCCCGACAGCCGCCAGGCACGCACACACATGACGACACGCTCCCGGTTGATCTCGACCGCTTCCGCCATTTGTGACGACTCCATTGTATCGTGCTCGTGCAGGGGCACAAGGAGTGGCTCGCCGAGGTGCAGCTGCTGGGCGTCGTGGAGCACCCCAACCTCGTCAACCTCCTCGGCTACTGCGCGGCGCAGACGGAGCGAGGCCCGCAGCGGCTGCTGGTGTACGAGTTCGTGCCGAATAAGACGCTGGACGACCACCTGTTCGACCGATCCCACCCCGTCCTCCCGTGGGGCGTCAGGCTGCAGATCGCGCTGGGCGCTGCCGAGGGGTTACTGTACCTCCACGAGGGCCTGGAGTTTCAGGTAATCCACATCTTCTCCGAAAAACTGCGCGTCTTCATCAGAAAACACACCATTTTCACCTGATTTTCCTTGTTTGTCAGATCATATACCGTGATTTCAAGGCTGCAAATGTGCTGCTGGATGATGAGTTCAGACCCAAACTGTCAGATTTCGGATTAGCAAGGGAAGGGCCATCAGAAGGTCAGACACATGTCTCCACAGCGGTATGTGCAAACATCACAGTTCAGAAAATGTGTCAACTCAACACGGATCATATCACTTCTGAATTCTTCAGAAATGAATCCGTTTTGGCTTTGGTGGATCAGGTGATGGGGACGTACGGCTACGCGGCACCGGACTACGTCCGGACGGGGCACCTCACGACCAAGAGCGACGTGTGGAGCTTCGGCGTTGTGCTGTACGAGATCCTCGCCGGCCGGCGGTCGATCGACAAGAGTCGGCCCAAGGACGAGCAGAAGCTCCTCGAGTGGGTGCGGCGGCACCCCGCCGGGAGCCCGCGGTTCGGCCGGATCATGGACGGGAGGCTGCAGGGGAGGTACTCCGTGAGAGCGGCCAGGGAGGTCGCCGAGCTCGCCGCCGGCTGCCTCGCGAAGCACGGCAAGGACCGCCCCGCGATGGCGGAGGTGGTCGAGCGGCTGAGGCGGGCGACGCGGCACGCCGAGCTGGACGGCGAAGTGTATGATGATGCCGGGGAGGAGAGCTCGAGCTCGCCGGCGGCGGCGGCCGTGGAGGACGACGTGGCCGTGGCCGCGGCGGCGGCGAGGCGGCGGATGCTCCACCTTGCTGCGCTCGGGGAGAACGCGAGCGCGAGCGCTCACGCGAGGAGAAGGCTCATGCTCATGAGGGCGGCTGCTGCTGCCACTGCCGCGACGTGACCTGTTCATTCTCTTGTCGGAGTTGACAATCACAATGCAGGATTGACTTCTGAAGGATTTTTTTTTTGTGCTGAGATGATATTTTTTTGTTACGGGTTTTGAGAAAAACAAATTACAGGACTTTGTGACTACAACTTGTACAGCATGGTTAATCCAAATAATACAATTTTCAGTAGAGACATTGTGACAACAAATTGAACAATGTGGTTCTTTTGTGTAAACGACCAAATCGAACAGCACACTAATAACTTCGTGAAACTGAAAGCTGAAGGAATCACATACACGCAGGAGCAGGCATGGAACGAATTCAGTTATCTGCAATTGGAAATGCTGACCCAATTTTGCTGTTTCCCATTCGGTAGCACTTGATGTTTACTCCGTACGGGCCAATCTCAACGCGGTTATCTTCCCCTCCCATAAAGAAGCAGAGCGTGTAGAGTGCAACCTCAAACTCAGGGCTGACACCAATCAGAGTGCTGGATACCGATTTCAGAACACCGTGCCACTCAAACTGAATAGTCAATAGCTGTGTCTCTGAATCAGGCTGCCAAAAGGAGCATTGCACATTTTAGCTCCATTACTCATAATCAAGTTCATCTTGTCTATCAATTTTAAGACTAGATACTTACCGATTCCCCACGCCTCCTTGGGAATATGTAACCTTGGTAATCCACATTCCCATTGGCTTCTTCCAGGTAAAACTGCAATTGTTTCACGAAATACCAATCAGAGTAATTTTTATGCAAGGAATACAAGAACTGTTGTAACATTACAAGAACTTGCCTGAATCCAATTATGGAATCCTGAGACCTCATTCTCTCCCTGTCCTCGTCGTCCCTTGATCTCACCAACGAACACATGCTCAAATGCAGAAGAGCTGCTAGAACTGCCACCTCTTCCATACAAATCGAACCATAGCGATGTCAGCATTCTCTTGAAGTCCTCATAGTCTTGAGACGCGACTCCCTTGAGCACTAAATACCGGTGTAAGTACTTGATTGGCGCTGTCCTGGCAATCTCTTCAATAAATGCTACTTCCTCGTGCTTGTCCTGCTGAGTAACAACTTCTTTGTACCCTTGATGTGGATTGTAATTGTCAAGAAGCGCGCAGAAACGAGAGTAGGTGGGCTTTCTAAGCACATCATCGCCTAGCCAGCTGAACAAAGTTTCAGATGCCATATCACCCTTCTGATATACCTTCTTCCCTTCGCCACATTCGATTCTGTAGTCCTTACCAGGTGTTAGGCGGTTCATATCGAGTTCCCACAGCCGGCTACAAGCTCTTGATAAGCTGTTGAGCTCCTCCCTGGTTGGTTCTACATTTAGGCCATGGTGGATCTGACCAGCATCCTCACAGTACTGTTGTTCAGATGGTGGCCTTCTGTATGCATTCCATGCTTCAGACTGTATAGTATAGTAATTATGAAGGTGCTCAGAATTCAGACAGGATAAGGAAGCTCAGAATATATTAATACGGCGATCTCATATTGTGAAATGGAAACTGACGATCAGTTCATTTATAAAAGGGTAACTGACTCTGACAGTGGTAGAACGATGCAAACACTAAAGTTCTCAAAAAGTACAATAAACCAAAGTGCTTGGGCTGATACATAAAGCTTCAAAGTATTGGTCAATGGTATTGCTCAAAACCTGAAAGATTGTTGGTCAACTGTGCCTGACACTTGGGGCTCATTTTGTCATATAACAGAGAGTGCAATAGAATGCTTGATTACACATTGTAGATATCTCAGGGGCTCAAATCAACAAGTTAAGAAAAGGGGTTTGGTTGAACAAAATGGAATAGCTTAGGGGCCCTTTTTGCATGCTAACCAGTTCAAAGACAGCATCAACTGACAGACGTTAAATATCTTTTAGAAAATAATATGTAATAAGTTTATTGACTTTATTCAGCCAAACAAGAACAGTGATACGGGGTGTCGGGGTATTTATAGTAGTCAGTTGACCTTGAGTATAAACATGGGCTCAAATTGACTCAAAAACAGATACCTAAAAATCTCAGTAAGTTATAACATTTGCAGATGTTATTGTATCTAATTGTTAGAAAACCAAAAGCAAACCTGCTGTGGCCTTCCATGATGCTTTTTCTCACCAACAGTCTGCCACCCTCCATCATTTCTCTCATCTCCATCCTGAGTACCCCAAACCAAACAGGTAAGCCTCCACAATATACACTCAAAATACCTGTCCCATCTTCAAACTGATGCTAGAAAAAAAAACTAAATAGCAGCAGGAAGAACTGTTAAATAATTGTAACTTCGTTTATGAGATTATAAGCATGTATTTTGCAGTAAATATTAGCACATTATTAACTTGATCAACTCATTAGTCAAGCGCAACGAGCATAGGAAAAACACATCCGGAAATGAGATTATCAAGCTCTATTTAGTATTCACTCCAAGCTTCCATCTCCTTTTGTTTTCCTTTTGAAAGCTAATGAGCCAAGGTTGAGATATACAAGCTTCAATCGAGCTGTACCATTAGACCAACTCTTTATTTTTCAGGAAGAAGCTTAAACAAGAAGATCAAAGAAATAAAGAGTCATTCTACATAACGCGCATATACTACTAGACCTGTACACTCTATATCACTATTCTGTGACTAAGGAACAAACTCAAAATGTGCCACACACAACCACCAAAGCACCACCAAGGCTACAACACGACAAACATATAATATGTGAATTGCTCAAATTCATGTACATATCTGTATTGCAAAAAGAAAAAGGAAGAAGATAACTGAATCGAACCTGTTGCTGCCTCCTGTAAGCTGGCGCTTGCTGATGCTGCTGTGGGCGTCGGCTACTACTGTCCCTCCTGTACTCTTCCTCATACTACAGACGTGGAGCCCAGCTACGTAAGCAGAGTGGCACACTTACAATTTTTACAGAAAATGTGTACACAAAATGGAAAACCTGGTTGTGCTGATGCTGCTTCCGGCCATCCACCCTCTCCCAATCCCCATCCTCCCTCCTCTCTTGCCTCCCATCCTAAATTCAACCAGAGAATTAAATTATTAAGCACTTATGGGTCTTTTGGGGTAGAGTGGAGCTGTGGAGCAGAAAAACCCAGCTCCACCCCCGTAGTACAAATTTGTGGAGTAGCTCTGCTAACTCCGCTCCGAAAAACAAAGGATTTGGACCGCTTGGAACAGCTCCAGCTCCAAATAAGTTGGACTTGGGAGCCAGAGCTGTGCCAAACGGGCCTTAACTACGCCCCTACTACCATAACACTAACTGCAAACTACCAGAAGAAGATTAACTAAAACCGAATTCCGGTCTGGATTAATGTTCTCCCAGACAAAACAGCAATCGTCACTCACCCGCCTCGAATTCCGATGGTCCGGGCGCTCCTCCGCCTCGCCGCCCTTGTGATCGGAGACCACCTGCCACATCCCCAAAACACTAAGAAGCTTAGACCGACAAACCCAACCAATTACATCCCTCACGATTTCCTTTATCTTCTTCCGCAATCGCGCGAACAGGTGGCGCTCACCTCGGCCCACGTCGACCGCGACCGCTCGTCGCCGCGGCCCTCCTCCTCCTCCCGCGCGGGGCGGTGCCTCCTCGGCGCGTCGTCCTCGCCGCCCCGCTCACCTCGTCCGGCGCCTTCGACGGCGTCGATCGCCACGTTGATCAGCCCCTTGATGAGCCCGTCCATGGCGACCGAGGAACCGCGTCTCTCCCCTCCCTCCGGCTTCGCCCGTGGCCACGGGGCAATGGGCGAGGCGAATAATGGAGTGGGAGATCTGATCGGCTGTTGGGATCTACCTGGATGAGGAGGAGGAGGAGTGGGGGCGGGATGATCGAGTGGTTTAGGGAGGATCTGCATGTGATGTGGGTGATTGCCATTTCGACAATTGGGCTGGCCGGCGGGTGGAGTAATTGCGAGGGTGATGGGGACGGAGAGGCGGTGGCACGGTGGCAGGTTGACTTGTTGCTGCCCTCCCGCCTCTGTTAATTTAACCGCTGCTGCCGACGCCGACGATCCGACGTGTCGTTCCGATGGCCTGTACGCGGTTGCAGCATGCGCTGTACCGGGCCGAACCAGCGCGTAATGGGCCGATTAAGCCCATGAGGTTGGTACGTTGGGCTGATGTAGTAGGAGCGGTTACAGTTTGGGCCTTTTCCTGATTCTTGACGGCATGATGGGCTTGATGGCCCAGTTATGGGTCTCGTGTCTCCAAGTTGTTCATCGTGCCCATGCAACCTTTTCGTTATGTAGGCTTCTACGAAAGTTTCGTAGCCTTAAAATCTTCTTAGCAGAGTAGCAGTACCAGGAGGAAAGTAGCGTCAGTTTCAGATGCTTTTGGTTAGTTAAGAACTTTTCTAGCTCCTTTCAGAAGTCCATACTGCCATACATGGAGCTAACTCCAGGCTTGTTTTTGGCAACTAACGCTAATACTCCGTATGACACTCGTTGCCTTTATAGGCCGATGCTGATGCAGTGATGCTCTCTATCACAACGAGGCCTTGTCGATCGTCCACTCTACGACTCTACAGATTGATTTGGGTCACGGTGATCTCTATATGTTATGCCTGTTTGACTTGCCATTTAGAAATGTTAGTGTATGTTTCCCCTGTTCTGATGAGATCATTTCTGGCGAGTTGCATCAGAGGAATTCTACTTTACCTTATCTGTTTTCTTTATTAAATTTGGAACGCCATACACTTGATTCCTGTAAACCATGAGCTCATGTGGCTAACTGGCTATCTCTAATATGCATTTGACTTTCCAACAGAGTTGCGCTAGGTTTATATTAACCGTACCAGTTAAATATTAGTCCAGTACTCCAGTGTAACCAATAGAATTTCTTTAATACTGATAGAAAACCCAGCTAATTTAGGACAATTTGAATTTGCTAATGGATGATGAATTGTTAACTGAGTTTATGTTAATTACTTGAGTATACAAACGAATAAATTAATATTACAAAAAATGCACTTTTAAAAAATGTTTTTAAGAAATATAGGTGAGGAAAGTTTTTTTTTAGAAAAATCTTATCGTTTGCTACGTGCTCTTTATAATCAACATTATAATCTCAAAAGAAGGGCATTTAATGGTACGACTTCAGTTCCTTTTTTTTATACTGATGCAGAGGCTTTATCACAATACTGTGTCGCGCATTGTTCATTCTACTACAAACCGTTGCAACCGGCTGTACTCCACCAATATTCTAGGAAGAATAATACCCCCCAAACAAAAAAAAAAACTACAGTCAATGGGAAATCTTAATTGAAAAATGAGATGGATGCACCGGATTTCTTAACTTAATTACCTGGGTTTCGTAATAGCTACAGATTGATTGGGGGCTCGAGTGCTCGACGATCTCTAGCCTATGCTATTTGACTTTCGATTTGGATATACAGAGTCATTGTTCATGTCCAACTTCTGATCATATCATTTTCTGATTATATCATTTCTGGCAAGTAGCCTCATAAGAATGCTACTTTACCTTATCTATTTCTTAGTATTAAATTTCGGAACACCATACACTGAACAGGCATGAGTTCATGCGGCCAACTCTATTATGAATTTGACTTTCCAAAAACAATGAATTAATTTGCAATTAAATATGCCCCCTAAATTTTAGTCAGAAAAAAGCTGGATACCAGGAGTACAATTTTTTCCTTTATAATTATATCAGGACTAACTTGACATCAATTGAATTAAGAGTGACGTGGAACCACCAAGTGAGGTGGAACGCGGTTGAGTGCACATGCACGATAACTATATTTGCACAGTTAAAATTTAGTTGAGTATAACACATAGAGGGGGTGTTCGGTAGTACCAATTGTGACTGAAAGCGGGGCAGTAACTATAATACCAGAGCAAAGATATATATCTACGGTGTCAGCCGCACTACTACGGCTGTGTAGCAGCAGCTTAACACAGTGAAACACCTCCAAAACTCTTAGCCCCATCGGTTGGCCTAATAATTCAAAGCAAAAACCAAATTTTAAAATTTTGAATTTGATTTTAAAATATTTTGAACTTAATTTCTTTTTAGCGTTGGCTTTTAATCACTATGAACAAATATATAAAATTTTTACCTATAAATTAATTTTTATTCTCTAATAAGCTATTTTGGCTTATTAGAAAATATGGACAACTGATAAGGCTCTTTTTTCTATTATTATTATAGAAAGATGCACACTACACTCGTGTGCCTCAGGAATAAGAGGAGCAACACACGTCCAGATGCCAACGATAAATCTCTGGTCTCGCTAAATTATTGAATACGGTGAATAAATTTATACAAACTGCAACTCCAATATCACATTTTCTTTCTCTTTTCCACCCATAAAATTCTCTTCACTTCTAACGTAGAAAAATTCCAGCTCATTTAATGATATCACTTCACTATCTCTTTTGTCATGCTTTAAATCGTGTGCCGATTCGTGGAGACGGGTATGAGTATGACAACCAATGCCATATATTCCATACCTCAGTCGCATGATACTACTACTAGTACTATTTACACGAAATCAAGCGATACTGAATCTGTTGCATCTGTAGCAATCATGCGACTAGGTACATGAGGTTTGCATTTGCGTACACGAACTCCTCAAATATTGCGAATGCTTGTACTACGACTCTAGATCACACAAATTAAGATCGCGTAGATTGAAACTGGACAAGCAGTACATGTACAAAATCCGAGCATCCGACCACGGAAAGAGGGGAAAGAAAATTGCAAAGCCATGGGGCACACTCCCATCACCAGTTTATTCCTGTATTTCCACACGTCGCGATCCCTCACCCAACCATGCAAAAGTCAAGTGCACGGGAGGAAGAAGAAGAAGAAGAGGAGGTTGCTGCAGGTGCAGGGTCCAAACGCCAACCCCTCGTTGCTCTTGGAAAAAAAAATCGCACATCACTGACCGACCCCGCCATTTTCGTCGCCGTCCGTTCCCCTTGTACTGCACCTCTGAAAATTCTCCCCCCCTTCTCTTTTTTGTACTTCTCCCCCGCATCCACACGTGTACTGGATACGTCGTGCAGAGGGGGTGCAGTACAGTGAACCGAGCTGCTTCTCTCGTTCAGTCGTTCCCCGCAGTTGACGCCTATTTAATTGACCCGCCTGCCGCCTCCTCTCGTTCCCATCCCCGGTGTGGTGGCGTTCGTCTGATCGTCGTCTCCGAGCGGTGCTGCTGTTTTCGCAGGGAGGACAGTACAGGTGAGAGGTTTCTGCATGCGGTGCTCGTTACAATTTGGTGTTGGATTGTGCTTTTGCTGCCTTTCTGGTTTCTGCTCGTGATTTGTGGTTCTTTTGTTCGTCGCCTTGTTGGCCTCTGTCATTACTGACCCCCGTGGAGCAGAGTGGCAGATGGCCAAATGCCTCTGGCTTTGCTAGAAGCCAATTTTATAACTAATCCTGCCCGTTTCAATTCAACGGCGCTTGTACTCTTCTGTCTAATGCAAGGGCGCTGGGCGCACATGGATGGGTTGTTGGATTGTGTCGCCCTGGTACGCGTAAACAAATGTGCTCACGATTACATCTCTCCCCTGCAGCCGCCGCGGCCACCGGTGCCGCCGCCGACGTCTCGGAGCTCGAGCTGCTAGTCCCCAGGGGGGGCGCCTCGTCGGGTGCGGCCGGCAGCATGGACCGCCACGCGCTGGGCGGCGGTGGCGCGCTGGAGATCGAGAAGACGCCGGAGGCGGCGGAGGACATGGAGTCGGAGCCCGCGCTGGCGGCGGCGCGCGAGGCGGAGCGCGTCCCGCCGTGGCGGGAGCAGGTGACCGCCCGCGGGATGGTGGCGGCGCTGCTGATCGGCGTGGTGTACACGGTGATCGTGATGAAGCTGAGCCTCACCACGGGGCTCATCCCCACGCTCAACGTCTCCGCCGCGCTGCTCGCCTTCCTCGCGCTCCGGGGATGGACGCACGCGCTCGACCGCCTCGGCATTGCCTCCCGCCCCTTCACCCGCCAGGAGAACACCGTCATCCAGACCTGCGCCGTCGCCTGCTACACCATCGGCTACGGCGGTAGCTCTCCTGTCTCCCCTCCCCTCTCATCACCCCGGCCAATCTTGGCGTCTCGTTGCGCTAACCGCGTCGCGCGTTCGCGTGGAGCACAGGTGGATTCGGGTCGTTCTTGCTGGGGCTGAACAAGAAGACGTACGAGCTGTCCGGCGCGAGCACGCCGGGGAACGTGCCGGGGAGCTACAAGGAGCCCGGGATCGGGTGGATGACGGGGTTCCTCCTCTCCACCAGCTTCGTGGGGCTCCTCACCTTGCTCCCTCTCCGAAAGGTACACTACTGACTCCCTTTGCTCTTCTTTGATTTTCCCCTTTCCATGCCGTACCTTTCAGCGTTTACCGTTTCTGACAGATTCCCTGAATTTTCCGAGATTGATCTTTACTGTCATACGTTCTGAAAAAAATGGCATTGGTTGTACGATCGTTCAGCATCAGAGTTGCAATCGTTGACCACGATTAACAAACATTAACCATCGTTTTCTCCTTTTCTCACTTATTAAGGACCTGTTGTGTCTTTCAGTTATGGTTTGGAGTGCTACAGTACACTACTGATAAAGTCTATTCTACACGTTTATTGTGTCCTTCAGTCTTTTTTTTTCTGAACAAAAAGTGGGCTAATTATCGCAATCATGCAAAAATGAAGGAATCTGATAAAAACCGATATTTTGCAGGTGCTGGTCATCGACTACAAGCTAACATATCCAAGTGGGACAGCGACTGCTGTTCTCATAAACGGGTTTCACACGCCTCAAGGAGATAAGAATGCGAAGTAAGCTCTTTATTTCAGATTTCAGCCAAGTGCTGATGAAATCATGATTGAGCCGACCAAAAACGCTGCAGAAATAGTTGGGATTCACTGACTTGATTCAATGGTTTCC